ACAGAGATACTCTATATTAAGCATTATTAGTACTCATTTACAGGATAAATCCTCTTCCCTGGGATGTAAATGATGTGTTTGCAAAGCTGGAGGGGACTGGTTTTGGAGAAAAGGTGGAGAACAGATGCCATTCCCAAAGTGCATTACTGTCACATGAGTCACTGAGATTTATTGCCATGGAAACCCCACAGTTTAATTTGGTGTCCTGCTTTATTGAAAGCTTTCTGGTGTTCAGTCTCCTATTCCATGGACAAAGCAAGAATTCCTCCACAGCTCTTCTCAGGTTATGATGGCATGATGACTTTTAGGCTCAAATGATCAGTGTTGCCAGAAAAACTGGAGAGATGTATACCTTCAAACAAATTTTTGTCCTCAGCAAATGCTCCTGCATTTTATAAAAAAAAAAAATGCATTGAGGTTTGAAAATATGTACTTTGATCTTTTGAGCCTGTCTTTAAATGATATTCTTCTCTAATGAAAGCACAAATATTAATTTATGTAAAGGGACCAGAAAGCCTAAACTTGTCAAAGTGTATGGTATTTCATGCTGATTTCTGCATCACTGAACATGAGTTTGACACTGCACCAAGGCCAAAGAGAATTAATGACAATCTTTGAGAGATTCCTTTCTAAAAATATATTTGCAAGCTTTTTTTTTCCCAGCTGTCACTTACCCCCAGCCTAGAAAAGCTTCTGTTATAATACTAAAGATGGGCATTGAAGATATCTTTCAGCTAACTGTTGAACACTGTAAAATAGTCAATGATATATTCTGTATATTTTAGGGGAAAGGGGATGTCTGCCCTAAATTTTCCTTTTTCCTTCCCCCAGCATAAACCAGTAGCATGATCACATCTTCAGGTTGTTTCAGCAGTTGCAAAGTTGGCACCAATCCATATTCTGTACAAGCTACTGACAAGAACTATTTATTACCCTTGGGACTACAGGGCTATTTCACCTTAAATGTCAGATCTTCTTCTTTCTTATGCCCTTTTTGAGGCAACCAAACTGAAAACAATTCATTAGCAGGCTATTATTTGTACCTTGCCATTGTGAAGCCAACAAAAACCTTTTTTTTTTTTTCAATCCAAGCTGTTCTGGTAGCAGAAACAGAAGTAGAGGCAGAAGCAATTGAAATAATACCTATTATTTGCTCCCACTTACAGCTGATCTCATATCTGTACTGTCACCTTGCACAAAAGCAAATGATACTGCTTATTTGGGATTTTATCTAGTAGCAGCAGAAAAAAAACCTGTGTTGAGATAAAAATGGCTTGACTTCCATGGCAGATATTTTCAGCTAATTAAATGATGAGGATTATACATCCTGCCAGTTGCCAAATAGCACAAATAGTCAGTTACAAGTGGCCAAGACCAGAGGGTACTTACCAAGGTTTCTCTAAAAGCATGGAGATGTAACATCTGGAATATTTGCTGTGGTGTGTGAGCTCTTACTAAAGCTGCCTTGCTTTTGGAGATCTGGAAGTTATCTAGTAAAATGCTAATTTTTGAAAAGTATTTCAGGGAATGGTGGCCCAGTAGACCTAATACCACTACTAAGAATAAGGAGAAGCTAATAATTATTAGAATTCAAGGACACAGTGATAAATAAACATATTGAGCAAAACAGCATTTGTAAAGGGAAATAGTATTCCACAAACCTAGTGGAGAATCAAAGATATGTGGATAGGTGGATGGTACTTTCTTAATGAATATCTATAAGCCATGTGAGAAGGTATATCACCTTTCTTAAAGAAGCTAAGTCTGTGTCTGTGATGTTATTTAAAATAGTTTTGAGAAGTGATCCTGGGCAAGGACAGGCTGATAATCCTGCTACAGACGTATAAGTGTCCCTGGGGATGGTATCTGAGTGTCCAAAGTGGCTTGATCTGAAGCAAATCCCAGGAGCAGCTTGGGGGAAAGCTCAGTCCAGCAGCTCTATTTATGTATATATTGCATTAGGGCCCTCCTGGGATTCTCTTTGTCCTTGATGAACCTCACAGCCCTACTCAGTAATGTCCTCTATACCCTTGCTGTCCTTCTGCATAGAGCCTGCTAGCAGGTTATGAAACAGCCCTCGTGTACTCAGCAGGGATTACCAGGGCATCAGGAGTGCCTTGCCTCCTGCTAAGGACTCCTCTGCTTTTTGTGGAATATATTCTGTATCTGGGACATCACCACTGTGCTTTGCTCAAGTTGTTTCAAAGCAGGCAGTAAATGCAGTGTGGAGGAACTTCTGTCACAGCAAGGTTGCTTCTCTCTGTTGGCTTCTGACTGCCCACATCAGTCTCAGCCTTCACCTGCAGTGCTGCCAGCAGCAGGTGCAGAGCTGGGTCACTGGGCTCTCTCAGGGCTCTGCTCTTGCCATGGCCACTTCCCACTGCCTGAACAATCATCCAGAGCTGCTCTCCAAGGCAGCTCTGTGGAGCCAAGCTAAAGCCAGCCCTGCAAGGACTGCTATGAAAATACCTGGGAGGATGGGTAAAGGAGAGAGTGACGTTTGTGAGATGTGCTGTACTTCTCTAGTTTTCAAAACAAGCAGGAAACTCCATACTGTCCTTTCCTTCCACATTTAACAGGCAAGACTGCACCTACTCTTTTTAGCTACTTTCCCTGCCTTCCCAACTAAAGTATTTTGAAGGAACTTCTGGAAAATTTTGTAGCAGCAATTCAGCAAGCTCAGGATTTGGGGGGACAATATAACATGCTGGATCAGTTAACCTGGGGGTGACATGACTGCTGCAGCTCCACACCCTGAGACCCAGCCAGTGCCAGGACAGCAGATGTTCCCAGCCAGACATTGACACAGAACATGGGTGTACATCCTCTGGGGGAATTGCACAGCTGTGCTCTGGTTAGAAGTCCACACAGTCCCAGAAAGAGAAAGATTATATGCTTGACTCAGAGGCAGGAAAAGCCGTCATAAAAAGTAGGAAGTGGGACCCCCAAAACCTGAACAGTTCCTTGGCAGATAAGAGGATGTCTGAGCAAGTAGGGATACATTAAAACAGGATCTGTGTGATAAAAAAGTTGCATGCTGATTTGTCAACTTTTTCTTTCTCCAAAAGTGACTCAGTAGGAATCTTTTTCACAGGTGGCAATCATTCCCACAGACATCTTTTCTCAGGTGAATGACATGCGACTCTGGGAACATTTTTGGAGATGTCATGACACTCAGCTGGGAATTCAGTCAAGGCAAGCTGTCCTGTAAGGCTGCAAAGTATTTATCAAAGCCTTGAAATTGAATGATAAAAAGAGTGACTACTTTTGACCTTGATTATGTATCAGTGATGAAAGAATAATGCAAATTTTCATATAACTGTATCTCTGCTCAAGGAAAATAGCTTTGGAAATTATATGAGTGAGTGTATGTATGCATATATATATATATATATATATATATATATGTATGTATGTATGTATGTAGGTATATATGCATGTATGTATGTGTGTATATGCATATATAAATATGTATAATATGTATATATGTTTGTATATGTGTATATACACACATATATCGATATGTATGCTTCAACTGCCTTCCCAGGCACATCTACAGCTACAACAGCAGCCCTGAGGAGAAGAAGGAGAAGAAGTTGCGAGTGTTGGTTGACAAGAAGCCCAAAATGCCCTGGCTGTGTGTATTGGAAGCCAGAGACCCCCTGTGTGTTGGGCCGAGCCCCCAGCAGTGTCCAGCAGGACAAGGGGAGGGGACTCTGCCCCTCTGCCCCTGTGCTCAGGTCAGACCCCACCTGCAGAGCTGCCCCAGCCTGGGCCCAGCACAGGAGCTGGAGCTTCTGGGGAGAGCCCAGAGGAGCCACAGAGATGCTCTGAAGGCTGGAGCCCCTCTGCTCTGGAGCCAGGCTGGGAGAGCTGGGGAGCTGGGGATGCTCACCTGGAGAAGGATCCAGGGAGAGCTCAGAGCCCTTCCAGGGCCTGAAGGGGCTCCAGGAGAGCTGGAGAGGGACTGGGGACAAGGGATGGGCGGACAGGACACAGGGAATGGCTTCCCACTGGAAGAGAGTAGGGTTAGATTAGATATTAGGAAGCGCCTGTAAGGGTGGAGAGGCCCTGACACAGGGTGCCCAGAGAAGCTGTGGCTGTCCCATCCCTGGAAGTGTTCAAGGCCAGGCTGGATGAGTCTTGGAGCAACCTGGTCTAGTGGAAGGTGTTCCTGATGGTCTAACCCATCCCAGGAGATGAAAGCAACCCAGGACAGATCACTTGGGTGCATTAGCATGAAACAGCACTGAATGATCAATGTGATTTTTAAGAGGTGACCATGGATTTCTCTGATGTTTGCTGATATCCACAAAGAATGATAACCCACATTTTGAGTGAGGCCATGTTGTGCAAAGTTATCAGGATTACACTGGAGACTTCATAGGAGGTAGGTGTTTGCCTGACCAGTTTAGGAAATTCAGGGTAGTTATGTAAACAAAATGTAGACAATGACCAACTGACTACATGAGGTTACTGGTTATGCTGCCCTGGGAATGTTGGTTTCACATCACTTTCATGAACAAAAGTTGAAAATAGATCTCTTTTTAGGTTTAAATGCCCTCTAAATTATGTTCCAAAGTGGCTTGAAGGATTGAAGAAATTTAACTTGAAGTAAGATCTTGCAAAGAAGACACAAGATTTAAAAGAATAATCAAAGACTAAGTGGGAGTAGGAAGGAAAGTGTAATAAGTTCTTATTGTTTGGACAGAACACTTAAGGTAATATCTATTACATTCCAAGCAACAGTTATAAGGGATAATTACATTTTGTTTCAGAGAAAAAATTATTTTCTCAGCAAAGGAAGTATTAGTTTAAATTTCCTGGTGAGAACAAAGCAGGATATCTGATCAGACCACTTTAAAAGTGGCTGAAAAACTTTGAAAATACCTGAAGCAAGATTTTTAATTGAATAAATAAATTTAAAATTAGCAAGGAAAAATGTAATCCTTAAAATAATTCAGGGTAATGATTAAAATGCAACACTCAACTTCTCATTATTTACATGGCATAAGCTCTACAATTTTTATTATGTAGGCATTACTCATCTACAGATTAATGAAAGACAAAGCAGTGATTACAGAATAAAAGTGATAGAATGTCACATTTTGTGCAATTCTCTCACTTTACAGCACTGGAGGTGTTTACTCTTCACTTTCTGCCTTCTTGCCGATTTCCCGGCTCTTGGCTCGGAGCTTGTTGACCTGTGACTCTGCAATGTCAGCCCGCTCCTCGGCTTCCTCCAGCTCGTGCTGGATCTTGCGGAACTTGGAGAGGTTCACATTGGACAGCTCCTCCTGGAGATAGGAAGAAATATAAAACAGGTTTTAAAACAGTTCCACTGTGACACTGCTAGGTGAAGATATGAAAGAAAGAAAGTGAAATGAAGTAGAGATCTACTGCCACAATGTTGACCTGGGTTCAAACAGAGCTACACAGGTGAAAATATCAACACAGAGTCCCACTTCCACCTGGTTAAAGACTGACTGAACACAGTGATACTCACAGCCTCCTCAGCTTGTCTCTTGTAAGCTTTCACCTTAGTTTGCAGTTTGTCCACTAGATCCTGAAGCCTGAGAACATTTTTCCTGTCTTCCTCAGACTAAAGAAAATGAGAAGAAAGAGAAGCATCTCTTTTACCCTCCTCTACATGAAACAGAGACTAACATTTTTATTTGACATTGCTGCCCAGTAAGACAGAAGTGATAAACTGGATATTGTGAACATGACTAGAAAGATAGTAAACTCCTGGTGCTTTCATTATTCTCCTTTTTGTGTGTGTGACTCAGGACAGAGGCTCAGGGCTACATTTTTGGTTCCAGGAATAAGAGTGTATCAACACAAAGAAGATTCCTGCCTTACCTGGTAGGTCAGTTCCTTCACCCTCCGCTCGTACTTGCGCACGCCCTTCACGGCTTCAGCGCTGCGCTTCTGCTCAGCATCAACCTCCCCTTCCAGCTCCCGCACCTGCAAGGACAAACCCATCCCTGCAGCTTCCCTGACAATGTCTCTGCAAGGACACGCTCACTCAGGTACAACCCCAGCCCTACACACCCTGGCCTCCAGCTTCTGGATCTGCTTCTTCCCTCCCTTCAGTGCCAGCTGCTCGGCCTCATCCAGACGGTGCTGCAGGTCCTTCACTGTCTGGTCCAGGTTCTTCTTCATCCTCTCCAGGTGGGCACTGGTGTCCTGCTCCTTCTTCAGCTCTTCTGCCATCATGGCCGCCTGATCAGAGCAAAGGGTCAAAGCCATTTAAGGACTGGAGATATTTTGGGGAGACTACATTCATCATTGGCAATGCCAGGAGTGCCCAACTCACATCTGTGATGGCCTTCTTGGCCTTCTCCTCAGCATTGCGGGCTTCCTGGATGGTATCCTCCATTTCACTCTGGATCTGGGCAATGTCTGTTTCCAGCTTCTTCTTGGTGTTAATCAAGCTGGTGTTCTGTTGAAGAGCATGAACATGATTTTTTTTTTTTTTTGTTAGCTTGCAGTATCATATCAAGTACAGCATAAGTTTTTTTTTAATATAGATTGTGCCACATGTCATCCACCAAGGCAGGCACAGGAAAGTAACAAAAATAGAGTAAGAGAAAAGTCAACGAAATGCTTCCTCTTCAGCATTGGGGAAGAGTAATTCATTCTCAACAACTGAAAAGAGGAAAAATTTTGAATGTAGATGGGATGAATCCCTTCCCAAAACATTCCATTACTTGAAATTGGACACTTTCTGTAGATTTCAGTACTTGATTGCTCAGTGGCTCTTATGACACACAGCTCATGTCAAATTCTGCTTAATAAATGCTAAAACGAGCCAGAGGAATTCATCCCCAGTTCCTCACTAGGAAAAAAGTACATGAGGATTCCTCAGTGCTACATTTCAGCCAGCAAGGAATGAATGTGGCTGTGGTCTCAGGGTTCCATTTCCTGACTGCACAGAGAACTTGGCATGTCACTGTGAATAAAGTGTCTGAGAATGCAAATGAGGTGGAAGCATGTGTGTCGTTGTCAGCCTGGGAGAACCACCAGTGCACACACTGATTTCAGCAAAGATCTCTTTAAGTAACGTGATGAATACTCCAGACAGGTAGACTGGCTTCCTCCATGTTGAGTATCCAGTGGTGACTGGAATAAAGCATTAAAGTGTTCTCCCGGTTACCAGGAGTGTTATTTCTCACCAAATGACCTCACCTGGCTATGGAGGAGTTGCACACGCTCGCTGGCATCCATTAGTTCCTGCTCAGCCACTTTCCTTGACCTCTCCGTCTGCTCCAGGGCTGCCCGGAGCTCCTCAACTTCAGCCTGCAGCAGGTTTGCTCTGCGCTCCACCATGGCCACCTGCTCCTTCAGGTCCTCCTGTGACCTGAGAGCATCGTCCAAATGGATCTGGGTGTCCTGTAGAGCCATAGAAAGAAATTATAAGCAGATTTAGAGCTCCTGTGGACTGAAAGTATTAACTAAGATATTTCACTGTAGGCAATTTCTGTTCAAGAGACCTTGAGCACTCCCTGTGTATTTCTCAGGTTCTTCTGTGCCTCTGCAGCCTGGCGGTTTGCATGGCTCAGCTGAATTTCTATTTCATTTAGGTCTCCCTCCATCTTCTTCTTCAGCCTCAGGGCTTCATTCCTGCTCCTGATCTCAGCATCCAGAGTGCTCTGCATGGAGTCCACAACTCGCTGGTGATTTCTCTTCATCTGTTCGATCTCCTCATCTTTCTCTGCTACCTTCCTGTCGATCTCAGCCTTCACTTGGTTGAGCTCAAGCTGCAGGCGCAGGATCTTCCCCTCCTCATGTTCCAGGGAGGCCTGCACAAGAAAAAATAACACCTTTCATGTGACAGATGTTGAACCTGAAGCACTGAGTGAAAAAGAATGCTATGTTTAGATAATATCTCTACTTTTTTAAAACCTCTTCTCCTCTTTTGTCTGGGAATGGGATAAACAAGAGAGAGATCCAAGAGGCGTAAGAGAGATAGAAATAATGCTGTGTACCTCAGCTTCCTCCAGAGCAGCCTGGATTTCAGATTTCTCCTGTTCAATCTGCTTCTTCACTTTCTCCAGCTCATGAATTGCCTTCCCTCCCTCTGCAATCTGCTCGGTGAGGTCAGAAATCTCCTCTGTGGGAACAAAGATCAATGGCATGGTCAGGCACAGAGCAGAATGGGAAGGATCCTGTCCCACCAAGGTGACAGGCACCTCTGCAGATCTGCAGGCACAGACCCATGAACAATGGTGGTCATGGCTGATGGTGAGAAAGGCCAGTGAGGGGAGCAGAGGGCCAGGGACTTACGCTGCAAGTTCTTGTTCTCCCGCTTCATTGTTTCCAGGTGGTCCAAGGACTCCTCATAGGCATTCTTCATCTTGAACAGCTCCGTGCTCAGAGAGCGCGACTCCTTCTGCGAGGCCTCCAGCTCAGCCTGTGTTTCCTCATACTTCTGCTTCCATTCTGCCAGGATCTGAAGAGAAACGGGGTGTGAGTCGGGCTGTGGCCATCACAGGGGCATGCTCTGGCCAGGAGTGCTGGTGCTGGAGGCCAAAAGACCTTGTCAAAGTTCTTCTGCTTCTTATCCAGAGCAGCACAGGCAGCATTGGATCTCTCCACATCAATCATCAGGTCCTCCACTTCATTCTGCAGCCTCTGCTTTGTCTTTTCCAGGGAGGCACATTTGGCATTGACAGCCTCAACATGTTCCTCTGCATCCTGCAGACGCTGGGCCAGCTTCTTCCTGGGAGGTGAGAAGCACAGTGCCTCGTTAGAGCTTGGAAGGACATTACTTCTTTTACTGTCATGAGTTTGTCACTTTGGAGGTTTTGATCTAAATGCTTTCCACAGTAATTTTTATTGTCCATGAGTGCATGCATGCATGCAGATCTATCATTTCTGTGTCTTATCACTTATGGAGGATCAGGCCTGTCTTAGCCCTTCTAGCCCTGAAGCCTATGTTTCCTCTATCAATCATTTTTTCTCTCCCTCCATCTCTCCCCATTTTTTACAAAGACAGTATAACCTGGATGCCTCATCTAACTCTTGTCTGAACCCACTCTCAGAGATGCCAATTTCCCTTGACCAGTTTCCATCTTCTCCCATCATTTTTCATCCTGCATCCCACATACTTGGCCTCCTCGAGCTCCTCCGTGCGCTGAATGGCGTCTGTCTCGTATTTGGTTCTCCACTGAGCCACCTCGCTGTTGGCCTTGGACAGGGCTCTCTGCAGCTCCCCCTTGGCCTCCTGCTCCTCCTCATATTGTTCCCGGAGCAAGTCACAGTCGTGGCGAGCGGACTGCAGGGCGTGGGCCAGGGCGTTCTTGGCCTTGGGGGAAAAAAAAACCAGTGTAAAAATGAATGGAAATATCCTGGGAAATATCCTTGCCTGATGGGCAAGATACTGAATAGCAGTGGAAGGTCTGGGGATTTGCAAAACAATTAACACATAGACTGTGGTGAAGGTGGAACAAAACTAGTATGGTAAGGTTTGCACTGTATTACCTAGGTGGTTTTTTTCCTCCCTTTTGTCTTGTTGATTCTGTTTTTTCATATGTGTCTAAAGCTACTCCCAGACAGAAGGAATCTAATGGACAACAAAGAATTTGGAGAGCCTTCTTACCTTTATCTCTTCCTCTAGATGCCTTTTGAGTTCCTCAATCTGTTGGGTGAAAGCCTGTTTGCCTCTTGACAGCTGAGAAATCAGAGCATCTTTCTCATCTACCTGGCGTGAATATTCACCTGGGAATGTTCAGATGCGTAAAAAAACGTATGTAAAAGTGTTCATCTTGATAATAAATGCCCACATGAAAATATTTTGAGTTAAACAAAAGACTCCAGGTGCTTTTTATGTTTTTTTTTAAAGGACACAAGTAATATACAGTATTCTCTTAAAAACACAAATGCCTTACCAGCTTCTGTTTGTAGCCGAGCTCTTTGAGCACTAATGTCATTAATTATGCGCTGCTGTTCCTCCTCCTTTGTCTTAATTTCACTGAGTTGATCTTCAAGGGAACGACACATCTTCTCTAGATTTGCCTGTTTGCATGAGGAATGGAAGGAAAGATGTTTAAGATGGTTCAGCTCATAAACTGTGAGAATCTGAAGTCTTATGAAGGAAGAAAGAATGAATGAAAAGCCAGAATTTCTCAGTTAGTAACTGATATATATTTCTATGAAGTTTGTGTCCCCAATTCCTACAGCTGTATATTCCCTGCCCACTGCAGGGCAGATGAAATGAGACGACCTCTAAACTGCCTTCAAGCCCAAAGCATTCTATGATTCTATAATTTCTTAATTTTCACTAATCTATTTTCAATAGATAAAAAGAATGATCGGACACTGTAAAATGAAGAATTAACTTCAAATTCTGTTTGTCTCTCAGAGATTATATCACTGAAGTATTAAAGGTAAGAAAAGTAAAATAGGAATAAAAAGGAAATGACAATTTCTATTATAGGAGTAATTCTTATTTTAGAAGAAACTATAAAGCAATATGGTCAGTGCCTCTCATTTGTAATATTCTGAATCAAGCAATGAGACCCCAGAGTGCCTTAGGTTAGGTGTTACAGGTGAAGTTATTAGCTCTCAACCAAAGGATATAAAAATTATTTAAATAATACTAAAATTTTTAAACACATTTGTGTTTCAAGTTGCAAAGTGCAATAATTTATTCTAAAACATGACTAACTAAAATTTCTATGTTAAAATATAAATACTTGATTATGTTTCAATTAATGAGAAGAAATATTTGTGTACCTTGGCTTTGGAGACAGACTCCATGTTGCTGGCCAAGTCATCAATCTCCATCTTCAGCTCACTCTTCTCCTTCTCCAGCTTCTGCTTCACACGTTGCAGGTTGTCGATCTGCTCCCCCAGCTCAGCGGTGCTGTCCGCGTGCTTCTTGCGCAGGGCGGCAGCCGTGGCTTCGTGCTGCAGCGTGGCCTCTTCCAGGTCCCGCCGCATCTTCTGGAACTCTGCCTCACGCTTCTTGTTCATCTCCACCTGAGCTGCTGTGGCCCCTCCTGCTTCCTCCAGGCGCTCGCTGATCTCCTCCAGCTCCCTGGACAGGTCAGCCCGATGCTTCTCTGCTTTAGCGCGAGAGGTTCGCTCTGCCTCAATTTCCTCCTCCAGCTCCTCAATGCGCGCCTGCAGAACAGGAGGGACCCTTCACACCCGTGCCCTCCTCCTGCCTCAGCTGAGCCTGAGCAAGGGAGGGGAAGGAACACAGACTTGCCTGCAGCTCCTTGATCTTCTTTTGAAGTTGCATGCCCAGGGCTTGTTCATCCTCAGTTTTGCTCTGGATCTGGCTGATTTCAAAGTCTTTCCTTTGGGCCAAGTGAACCGTGTTAGAGCTCAAAGGAAAAAGACAAGTGGTCCAGCCCAGTACTCAGGAGCCCCAGAGCCACACTTACTTCTTCAGTTTCTCATCCAGCTGCTGCTTATCATTCTCCAAATCCATGATGCTGTCCTGGGCCATCTTCAGATCTCCTTCCAGTTTCCTCTTGGCTCTCTCCAGGTCCATGCGCAGTTTCTTCTCTTGCTCCAGGGACCCTTCCAGCTAAACACAACAAGACCTTCAGTGCTCTACCAGCCAGCTCAGGCTCCATACCTGTCCTGTTCCTGCACTGTGTCTGTGTGCTTACATCATCCACTTGCTGTTCCAGCTTGGTCTTGGCTTTGGTCAGAGTATTGACTTTGTCCTCCTCTGCCTGCAGGTCATCCAGGGTCTGCTGATGGGCCTCTTGGAGGGCTTTCTTCTCTTTGGTCAGCTTGGCGATGGTCTCATCCAGGGCTGCCATCTCCTCAGTCAGGTTTTTCACCTTTAGGAAGAATGGAACAAGCACAGACACAAAATTGTGATTAAAACTTTATATCAACTCTTTTCCGTGAGTGTGATTGACAGGTTCTACCTCATACCTTGTTTTCGGTGGCGTGTTTTTCCTTCTCCACCTTGGCCAGTGTTAGCTCAAGGTCATCAATATCTTTAGTCAAGGTCATCAATATCTTTCTTCAGTTCTGAACATTCATCCTCCAGTTTCCTCTTCTTGGCTGTCAGCTCAGCATTCATCTCTTCTTCTTCTTCTGCTCTCTCTGTCAGCTCCTTAATTTTGGCTTCCAGCTGTATTTTGGTTTTGATGAGCTGGTCGCACCTTTCCTCAGCATCGGCCAAACCATCAGCTTCCTATATGATTCATTTAAATAAAGAGTTTTCAACCTGAGGCTACTGGCCCAGATGTAATTTTAGGCTGTAGACATCTAAATGGCAACCAGTTAATCCAAATGCTTGCTGGTAAATACAGTTTTAAGGACATTATTGTTACTACATTGTTATTTCCAGGGAAAAAAGGAAGCAGTGAACTTTTTTACCATTTTTCTTGAAGAGGCAGGGACCATAAATGCCAGAGAAATACCTGACACTCTCAGCCCTTCCTGAACTTCACCTGAACAAAATGTGTTAAGAGGACCTCCAAACAACCTTATTTGGTCGGTTGATAACATATCAAAATTGTAAAATATATGAAGTTCTATAAAGATGCGATAGTGACTCTAAGATCAGCTCTGTCAGTCACGGCATGGTGCTAAGAACATCAAAGTCATAGGTTCAATCCTTATATGGGCCATTCACTTAAGAGCTCGATATCATGATCCTTCTGAGGCCCTTCCAACTCAGACTATTCTGTGTTTCTAATTGCTTCTGTGAGTTATTGCATAGGATTAAAATGACATAGTATAAACTGTACTATTTGCTGGCTGAAAATTGATTATTTCTCTCCTGATTTAAAAGTATAAGGAACCATCTGCAACAGTTAATTGTAGATGTATTAATGTTTGCAGGTTTCAACTTAGCTATTCTATATGGTTTTTCTTCCTATTTTATAAAATATGCATATGTTTTAAAAGTAATTGATATTTTGGGATAATATGTCTTCACTGAGACATTTGGGATGATTTTATATAGGATGTTACAAGCCAAGAACTTTAGCAATACTCACTGCCTGCACTTGGAGCTGCAGGTCATTTTTCTCCTGCACCAAGGCCACCATTTTCTCCTCCAACTCCTTCCGCTTTGCCTCCGACTTTGCAAGCTCTTCCTTGGTTTTCTCAAACTCTTCCTTCATGTTGGCCATTTCCTTCTCAGACTCTGCGCTCTTCAGCAAGGGCTTGATCTTGAAGAACAGCTTCATCCATGGCCAGTGTTTGACATTCATGAATGAACGAACGTTGTACTGGATGCAGAAGATGGACTCCCTGAAAGGTTTTGGTACATATTTTAAAAACTATAAAAAAAATTTAATAGTATGTATGTATAATATATATATTTCTACAGAAAACCTTCCAGTGTTACGTAGAGTATCAACCTGTAGAGACAGTTTTGGAGTCCAGGTGTTTGGCTCACTTTTCATGGCCAATGAAAAGGAATACTTCTGTAAGCTGACTTGGCTGCTTTTATGGAAGTTATCAAAGGGAAGTGGATGCTTCTCTTGTGATAGAAGTATGTCTTTCTTTTTATTTAGCAGTGAACTAAAATAATTAGCTTAGGCTAGATATTGAGTTTCTGGACATATAATATAGCCTCTTAATGAATTCAGCAATTATTAGGACAAAGTATTAAAAAATTTTTTGTTTCCCTAAGCTGGGAGTTTACACTACTTCATCTATTTTCAGGATATACTTCCATATTGATGAACTGAATTAATGAGAAATAGATGAGATTATTTGTGAAGCATCTTATTTTCAGTTTTGTTCATGCCATTAGTATCTGATAAGGATTGGCCCTGCAAGACAAGTCAAAACCTACCTTCTCTCCATCATTTTCTTGAACTCCACCCTCATCAGGTAACCCCTACACATGGCCTGGGTGCGGGTGATGAGCTGGGCCAGCTTCTCATCCCTCATCTCCTCCAGGAGTCCCAGCAGCCCAGCTTTAAAGAACACCTTGAGAAAGGGAATGTTGCAGCACATCACTGTCAGGTAGAGCAAAGCCCAGGAATGCAGTGAATGGGGGAATTTGTACCTTGGTGTGTCCAAATTTGTACTGGGTGTGGTCCACATCGATTGAGCCAAGGAGCTTCTCAGAAGCCTTCTTGCTGTCAATGAACTGTCCCTCGGGGATGGCACTGGCATTAAGCACCTTGTATCTGTGGAATCAGGAAATAGAATATGGAGAAGGTCAGATTCTCAAAAGCTCAACCAAACCTGTACCAAGCAATGCCATTGCTAAGATTTTCCGAAGAGGGATCGAGAGTTGAAGGCAGGTGAATAAATCTGAACTCTTACATTGTATAGACATTGCACTCTCATGGATGGGTAAGTATGTTTTTAGGGAAAATTGTGCATTTCTCTTAATCCAAAGATTTTTGACACAGAATGGATAATGATTTCTGTGGGTAACCACTGATGTATTTCACATGCCATGTTACCTAAATGCCTAATTTCTAAGTGAGAACTTTATGTGGAAAAGCAAAATACGTGGCAGGGAAAAAAAATCAAATCTCAGTCCTAAATATTGGCAATATGTACTATCTGAGTATGTACTATATGAGTATTTTCCAGCTGATGCAGAACAAGAAGCAAGATACTTTCACTGTATTTGGGTTTTGAACCAGTTAGTCTAGAATGTCTTTTATTGTCCTTATTCATATATCTGTATTGACAGGTGAAAGTCATCTTGCTTTGTTCTCCAGGTGCCTAAGTCTAAGGTAGTCAACTTCACTTCTGGATACTTAGTTAAAAAATACTTTTTCTCATACCAGGATATGCATAAAGAACGGGAATAAGTAATAGCCCTTTGAAAATGTCTTTTTTTTTCCTCAATAGCTATAGAAAGAACCTGGATGACTCACTTGGACAATTGACTTTTGTATACCTAAAGGTAGGTGCAGTGAACCTCTCTTAAAACTTCCACAGTACTTAAAACAATTAGGAAATGCAAATTATTCAGCATTTGTGAGTATGATAAAGGGTAATGACAGGTAATCTGACCTCTGTTTGAAGTCAGCATAGAGGATTCTGCTGGGGAAGCCTTTCCTGCAAATCCTGATCCCTTCCAGCACGCCGTTACAGCGCAGCTGGTGCAGCACCAGCTCGTGCTCCATGGCACTTGTGTATCACTTTACAGCACAGCAAAGATCAGATATATCACAGCTCTGAACTTTAACAACTTACCAGGTGTTTTTGTTTCATTGGGAATAAGGCACCGCACAAAATGGGGATGTGTGCTTCTCAAATTGCTCATCAGCTTGTTTAAATTTTCCTTAGAAGCAAGAACAAAGCCTTGGGTTTAAAAGTGTCACACAATCTCAATACTAGGTGGAGATAAAAACACTACAATAAAACCATGATTGGTAATTTTTTTTTACAGAACTTTTGGCCAGTTCTGAAAGAATACTTCCCAATATTCAGTAAGAACTCCTCTTTTCTAGAAGCAAATATTTTTATACTTTCTGAACAAAAAGATATATTAGATCAACCAGTTCTTTTCTGAACAGAATTTTCTGTTTTTCTTTTCATAATGTGGTAAGTTTAGAATGATTATTCTACAGTACCCGGAAGAGAGCTGAGACTGTCTGGAAAGAAGAACCCTTCTTCTTGGCACCCTTCTTGCCACCACCGCCACTGCTCTCTAAAAAATAATAGTTTTTTAATAAAGAAGTGAACAAAAAAAGCACACAGAATCCGAAAAACCCTATATGTTTATCTTAAAAAAATCTAGCAAAAATATATCATGATCAAAATTTGCAAACGCAGACAGTGGTTAAAGTTACAAAAAGAGACTTGAATTTTTCAGATGACAGTAGAATGAAATCTAATGACTTCAAGATGAAATTTAGAAAATGCAGTTGGGAAATAAAATGTAACACCTTGCATAGAAAAATATTTGAGGAAGTAAACTAATAGCTAGTAAATAAATCAAATGCAGTATTTATGCATTCACACATCTAAGGGTATGCATAAATTTAACACCATGCTGATACATTTGATTGTATTCCCAGAAGTAATTTAGAATGGCCCATATTGCAGAAATCTGGTTTCTCATCTAGGCTGGGTTAATGTTCTAGTACAGCAGTCTCGTTCTAAAACCTACAGATCTGTTAAGGTCTCTAGGGAGTTATAATATCCTTTATTAGACTGAGATCCAAAAAGTAGATGACATTTTGTGTTTTCAGTTTTAGAAATATAAATCTCATTGCAAAATACTATTACAAGATTTATTATTTTATGTTTCTGTAAATAATAGTAGAACTGATTTCAGAGAAATCACCTGCTTCAGCCCCTCCAGCATTTGCAAAGAGTAAGGCCAGGGTCTTCAAGGATGACTTCTGATAGAGCCCCACAACAGTTTCATTCAGAGGGTCCTTGTTCTTCTCCAGCCAGCCAGTGATGTTGTAGTCCACTGTGCCAGCATAGTGCACCAGGGAGAAGTGAGCCTCAGCCTTGCCTTTGCCAGGCTTGGGCTTCCTTGCCCAAGTGCTGGTCATAGAGCTTGTTCTTGAAAGAGGTGTCAGTTGCCTTGGGGAACATGCACTCCTCTTCCAGGATGGAGAAAATACCCATGGGCTGGGAGAAATAGCAACATGTGAAAAAAGTGTGGAAGGAAGAAACAGAGGCAATGTATGTAAGAAAGAGGAATGGAAGATAAGAGTTATACCAAAAAATCCTCCTCAGTATGTGTAATCTTATGTTTCTCCAGAAAAGGTTAGTTGGTATGCCATCAGTTATAACAACAGAAGCTCCCCCATACGACTCAAGGTTGTGATGTAATAAAGATGTAGCATACAGAAATTAATTTTATCCTTGTTTCATGAAAGTGGAAAGCAAAACTAATAAAGTAATAGCATTAAGATACATGGAAGAGTTTAATCTTCCTATATGCTCTTTCTTTGAAATGAGGAAAAAAAAAAATCTTAAGAAATGTTAAAATAGAGGTTCTATAACTGAAAAATTATTAAGTATGTGGGGACCAATAACCTTCTCAATGAGCTCAATGCAGGCAGCCAGGTCCATGCCAAAGTCAATGAACTCCCATTCAATCCCCTCCTTCTTGTACTCCTCCTGCTCCAGCACGAACATGTGGTGGTTGAAGAACTGTTGCAGTTTCTCATTGGTGAAGTTGATGCACAGCTGCTCCAGGCTGTTGAACTGCAGAAGGCAAAATTTATTTACTTGTGAATTTCAGTTCCAGGAACACCTTCCATCTTCCAGTAGGCTTTATTCTTATCCCACTAAGGTCTGCATGATTGGAATCTTGAATTTCTTGTGCTGGAACTGGACAGGTGACTGGCATATTCCATCCTCTAATATACCTAACTTTTTAGGCCCTGGCACTGTCTCAGCATATTTCTGAGATTTGAATAGATCTGCAGAGCTTAGTTCAAGTCCATCTTTTCATTTGTTTGAATCTGTGTACATTACCTGTCTATTCTTAAGCATTCAGAGGAAATCTGGCTTCAGCATTAACAAAATCTTCCATTCAAATGGCATATTTTAACTTCCTTAAAGTCCCTCTCTGCTACTATTTATCAGTTGTTCAACTTTCACTTCTGCATGCAACAATAAACATCTACAAATAAATACAGTCCTGTGGGATACCACACGTAGTGAGAACCAGAAGGGTACCAGTCCTAGAGGAAAAGCAGAATTATTCAATGAATAGGAATAACCCATAACTGAAATAAAGCACACTCCAATCCCTAAATTATTCCAATTTCCTAATGCCTCTTCCAGGAGAGCTTTATGGAGAGTCTCCTCTTACATCAAAGATCTCGAAGCCAGCAATGTCCAGGACACCAATGAAGTACTGCCTGGGCTGCTTCGTGTCCAGCTGTTGGTTGATACGGACAACCATCCACAGGAACATCTTCTCAAACACAGACTTAGCCAGGGCACCCACTGAATTGTACACCTAAAAAAAGGTTAAAGGAAAGCTACCATCTGCATCAAAAGAGGAAGTACAAAATTTGTAATTCAAGTAATTTTGTTTTCTATTATCACTTGTCTCTTACCTGCTGCACAGTTTGGCCCTTGGTCACGTATTCATTCCCCACCTTGACGCGGGGGTAGCAGAGGGCCTTGAGCAGATCTGCTGAGTTCAGACCCATCAGGTAGGCAGCCTTGTCAGCAACTAAAGGAACAAGCATAAGCAGGATCAGATGTTAGCTCTCCAGTGAAAGAATCTTGCAGTAATTCAGATTTCTACAGAAGCCACACATACGTTACCATGTCCTTTAAAATATTGTAGTTTCTCTTGAATTTTTAATTTTTTGTGATTTAATCTATACGATTAATAAAGACAAATATTATTGCAATACTTTTACAGTTAACATGCAGGAGACTAGACAGACAAAAGGACCAATGGCCATGAAAATGGCAGATTAAACAGTCACAATTTCTGAATAAACAGAATAGGAAAGTGGCTGGTATTCAAGTATGCTGCACTGAAAATTGTAGTCAGTGAAACTCTCCTGTCATTGGAGAGAGAGGGGTAGATTAGTGAGGTATAATGCCAAAGGTATGAACAGGATATTTTGTACAATTTTCATAGTTGGACTATATTGTCCCTAAGGACAAATATCAAACACATTAAGTGTTTCCCAACTCTCATTTTATCTGCAGCTAGGTTAACAAATACAAGCACCACAGCACTGCATATACTCTGTCATCACTTTCCAATCTGCTGCCTGTCTTGTCTCACAGTGAAGCCGATAGCAGGCACCAGAGCTATTTACAGGGTTCTTCAAAGGGAGAAGGCCAGACCTTATTATATAAGATTTATACACAGATGCTAATTTTGAGATGCTTTTATTTTATGTGTTAAATGTGTTGTTGTTATTTCCAACAAAACATTTAAGGGACATTTATAACAAGAAAGATGAAACAAGAAGGAAATTCCAGTCTTGTAGATATATATACATACATACACAGACACAGACACACACACACACACACATATATATATATAATATATGCACATATATATGTATATGCACATGTAGTTGTATATAGGCTACTCTACTTTAATTATATCATTATTTATTAGTACTTGAGAATTGCTCCTGGTTCCATGTCAGGTCTGGGAAGATTCCAGTCAAGACAGCACCCAAACTTTCATTACTTTTCACTGACTCCTGCTCTGACAGGAGGCAGAAGCATGCTTTAGGAGTCACTGGACTTGATTTTTTGCATTGTTCAAAATAATCTACAGGTTCCATTGAGTTATGTTCTTCCAGGGAATTCCTCTGGTTAGCACCCACTGCTTTTCCACAACACTGGCACTGGGGAAATGCACAGGCTGGGTCACTCATTCTGACCCTGACATGCTGCCTTTAACTGACTGAGTGTTCGCTGTCTTGCATGCTCTGGGATGGGTTGTGCTGGTACCTTCAGTGCCATCAGGCTCTGCCTGCTCCTCTCGTTGTTTCTGCTTGAACTTCAGGTTCCCGTAGTGCATGACAGCCCCTGTCAGCTTGTAGATGGCTGTTTTCTCATCAGCACTGAAACCCAGGATGTCAATGGCGCTCTAATGAAAGAGTTGTTAGGTTGAGTACCCCAACTGTTAAAGGTCAGAGAAAGGAAACTTCACCTAAGAAAACTTCTGCGACTTACGTCGGTGGCCATCAGCTCCTCCTGGTCATTAATGCTGGGAACTGTGATTTCACCTTGACTCACGTACAGATAGTCATAGGGGTTGGTGGTGATCAGTAACATCTCTGGAGAGAAGGACAAAACCCAGCCAGGTCAAAATGGCACAGAAAGGAATTGAGTGCTGTTCCATGACCTTTGCCTGGAGGAGTTAGTGATCTTCCCTACCAATTAGCTCTGGCTTCTTGTTGGACATGATCTGATAAAAGATGTGGTAGCTCCTTTCCGCCTTGAGCTGGAAAGTGACTCTGGACTTCTCCAGCAGATCTGGCAAGGATGGTAGGACAGAGTCAAGCACAAGAAGTGGGGAAGGCTGGAAGGAAGGGGATCAGGCCAGAAGGGTGTCTTACATGTTTCAATGTCAGCAGAAGCCAGTTTGCCTGTGGCACCAAAATGGATTCTGATGAATTTACCCTGAAAGCAGCAGGAAAGTCAATTGAGAACTATTTTACCAATCTGGACAGCAAGAATATTCAAACTGGTGTTGACAGTTGTCCCAAGTAACAACTTACAAAGCGTGAGGAGTTGTCGTTCCTCACGGTCTTGGCATTTCCAAAAGCCTCCAGCAGTGGGTTGGCACTGATGATTTGATCCTCAAGCGTCCCCTGAAATAGAAGTCTTCTTGTCATCATCTGGCTCTTCAAGAAATTGGATAGTTGCAGGTTTCTAGCCCTGGGACCTCACCTGCATTTTGCCTGATGTCTGCTCCTCCTTCTTCTTGTCCCCACTGGCTGCAATTGTTGCAAAGTACTGGATGACACGCTTTGTGTTCACAGTCTTCCCAGCACCGGATTCTCCGCTGCCCAAGCCAAGAGAGAAGCAGAGGGTGCATGGTCAGGCAGGAGGTCCCCTGGCACCGGGCAGCCCCGCAGGGACCCGCGCAGGGGGTGTACGTACGTGATCAGGATGGACTGGTTCTCCCGATCTGTGAACAAGGCAGAAACAAATACACTTTGTAAATGAAGAACACAAAAATACTGAAAATGAATGTAAGTCATGGCAAGGAAAAAACCCAGCACTTTCTTCTTTGTTTACTCCTAAGCCTTTTTTTCCATTTCATTTCCTTGCAAAGCAATTTGCACTTGCACCTTTACTTGAAACATATTCACAACACTTATGACCCAATCTTAGAGAAGTGTGGGTTTGATGGGTGGACTGTTGGATAAAGAATTCACTGGAAGTCTGAAGAAAGGAGTTACAGTCAAAGGCTCAGTGTCCAAATGACTAATGAGTGGTGGAAAGACAGATAAGGGCTTTTTCCCAAGTCTGTGGTGACAGAATGAGGGGCAGCAGTTTTAGGTTGAAAGAGGTAGATTTTATGATGATGGTGGTAAGCCACAGGAACATGTTGCCCAAAGATGTTGCCAATATCCCACAACTAAAAATGTTCAAGGTCAAGTTGGACAGATCTTTGAGCAACCTAATATAGTGGAAGATGTCCCTCCAAATATCATAGGGAAGGTCCATGTCATTTTTAAAGATCCCTTCCAGAAGAAAACATTCTGTTATTCTATAATGCTTTGCCATGGGCACTGAAAGCCCTTGAAGAGCCATGTGCTGCTTCTCTCTTCCACTCTATGTTCTTTTCCTTCTCCTGCATACAGTAAATTGTTTTATTTAAATAGATTTAATTTTAATTTACAAGACTGCTTATAGAGCAGCAGAGAAAGGGACAGTAAAGACCCTTGGCAAAGGAACCCTGATCATGGGTAACACTCTGGAACTCCATAACACAGAGACAGAAAGGAATGAACAAGGCAGAAGCAGAACTCCCAGCACTACATAATCCTGTTTCATTTTTCATGACAAGGTTTTATCAAGACAAAGCAGAACAGTTGTGATCTGATGCTTATGATGAGAGGCACTCACCAGTCAGCATGAACTGATAGGCGTTGTCAGAGATGGAGAAGATGTGTGGAGGGGCCTCCTGGCGCTTCTTGCCTCGGTAGGCCAACACCACCTCGGGGTTGTACACGGGCAGCCACTTGTAGGGGTTGACAGTGACGCAGAAGAGACCCGAGTAGGTCTGTGAGGAAGGGACACAGCACGTTGGCTTCCCCTGAGCCTGGCCCAGCACTTGCTGAGGCTGCCCAAAGGAAGCTGCTGCTGCCACTTACGTAGATCATCCAGGCTGCGTAACGCTCTTTGAGGTTGTACAGCACGGCGGGTTCGTGGAGGTGGGTCATCATGGCCATGTCCTCGATCTTGTCATACTTGGGAGGGTTCATGGAGAAGATCTGATCTTCCTTCACTGTCATGGTCTGTCAGAAGGCAGGAAGGTACATGCATGTCAGCTAAGAGCAGAGTGGGAATGAACTGGTGTTTGTAAATCTTGCACTTTACTCACCTCTCCCCCTTCAGTCTTGACAGTGACTTTTCCTGATTCCCTGCTCTGGATTGTGCTCTTTACATAGGATTCCTTTGCATGAACCACAAAGACAGATGACTTGGCATCAAAAGGTTTGTTCTGGGCCTCAATTCTCTCCTTTTCCGATTTTCGGAGGTAAGGAGCTGCCTCCCCAAAGATGGCCATCTCAGCGTCTGTAGACATGGCTGCTGCTGCTTACTACACGTAATGCAGCAAGTATCTGCGAGGGTAGAGAATATATTAAAATAGTGTGTGATGGAAGAAACACTCCTACAGCACATTCAATTGCTCTTCTTTAGGTATAAACTAAAGCCTTTTATTTTTCTGCAAATTCAGAGTTATTTTTGCAATTTTATTCTATTATTTTTTGTATAGTCAGATCTTTAATCCTAGTGGACCTTTGCATTTACAGAAGAATGCTTTCTATCTTTTTGTGTTTGGAGCAGATGAAGGACACGGAGCTGTTGGAGTGAATCCAGAGGAGGCCATGGAGATGCTCCAAGGGATAAAGCCCCTCTGCTCTGGAAATAGGCTGGGAGAGCTGGGTAGTTCAGTCTGGAGAAGACTCCAAGGAGACCTTCTAGCAGCCTTTCATTACCTAAAGGAGATCCAAGAGACTTGAAGGGGAATTTTAGACAAGGTCCTGGAGCAACGGAACAAAGGGGAAGGGCTCACAACTGAAATAGGATGAGTTTAGATTAGATATCAGGAAGAATATTCTTTACAACAAAAAAAAATTACTTTGCCTTCTTAGCCAGAGATGAACTTCACAACACAAATTAGTGCTATCAATTCAAATGAATGGATGCAATTTCCTCTCTGGTTTTGTCTCTAACAACATGTTCTTCCACTTGATTAATATGTTATAACTCAAATGAGACCATGCCACAAAATAATCACATAAGGCTGAAAAATGGTCCCAGTTTTTCGCCAACAATTTTAACACTGCTTATATTATCTCACATTTCGTTACAAGATTCCTAACAGGAATAATACTAATTATTCCTATGAGGAATAAGATTGCTATTTTATATATCTTAGTATATGCTATGTCAGTATATATATTATGTTATTATATATTATAGTATATTTGTTTATATTTATATGTATATGGTACATTATGCCAATATTGTACATGGTGGTATTTTATAGACACTGGATGCCTTTCTCACAATATATCCTTATGCTACTATCAAAAACTATTATATATATAGTAGGTTAGTATACATTTATATATGTATGTAATGTGTCAGTAATTGACTTTAAAGTATTAAACTATTTTCCTTTGTTTGTTTTGCTTGACATTTCCTGAAATCAGCGCTATGCTAACTCTCCTTCACTGATTTGAAGTATGCTGGTTATATTCCTTACAGGATTGCTTGTCAACATTTTATAATTTTGAGGGATATATTCTAGTGACAATATTTGACAAAATTAATATATAAATCACTGAAGAAACTAAATGTGAAGAGTTTATTTTCCTTAGTGTAAATATTTAAAACTGAATTTAGTTGCAGTTCCATCTCTCTTTTTTTCAATTATCCAAGTAGGTACCATCCTTTATTCAGTTCAAAATATAATTTTGTCAGAATTATGCAATATTTTCAGAGGCAGAAAAAGCCTATAAGGAAGTTCAGACTGAAATTTTAGCACTTTGATGTTTTGATACACAAAATTCTAACAACATTCCTCAAGTTTCCATGTGAAAAAAGAACATATTATCATTATTTAAATACATATTCATTTTCCTGTTCCTTCACAATCAGTGCCAGTGACCCTTGATGTCTGAGATAAATGCAAAAAACCCACTCTAAATAATTGGAAAGTACTTTCTGATTTTTTTGTTTTTTTCCCTTAGGATAGTTTCTCCAGGAACTGGTGTCTACTGGAGATCCCACGGCAGAGTGAAGACAATTCCACAGTAATCATACTTTAAAATTCACGCTCTTTAATAATCTTGTGACAAAAATATCAACAATCCAATTCTCATACTGTAATTATACAATGGACACAAATAAAACTACTACCAGGATTTCCAGCACACCTGCACAGAAGCTCTGCCTTACAGCAACTCTACCTGTCCCTAAAAAGTGAATAAATCAAGATCTTACCTTTTGTGAGACAAAGAGTTGCAGATTGGAAGACAGACAGTATCAAAAAACAGTTAGTAACTTACTGCTGCACTCCAGACAACATTTATAGACTGAAAACATATGGATGGCTGGAAAGCAGACTGAAAATCCCAGCTGACACTGGCAGACCCCTATTGAATGAATGTGAGCATCCATAGGAATGCACTGGAACTTATGGAATGCAGGGCCAGTTTCCCTTCATTCCTGATCTCCCTAGTCCCAAGCCCTGAAACTCTTACCTTAGAGATTTCTGAGAAAGGACGAGTCACACAGATCCCAGGGTACTTTTATAGGATCTGATCTGCATATGTAGCCACCACCTCCTCTTTCTTAGGTCAAAACATTTTTGGCAATCTTAACTCCTAACAGAATTGCGATTCATATTAGAAGTGAATGGATATAATTAGACATAACAGGTCTGTGAATCAATGTCCTATAAATAATTTGACAAGAAAGCATGAGAAGGGGGGGAGGTGGGGGTGTGTTCTAAAGGAGATGAAAGGGGCTACACTGGCTCTGTAATCCATCGGATGCTGACTCGCACAGAAAAAGTGAAGAGTAAGAGCCAGTGTGTCTCATAGAAAACATGTAGGGATGGAGAGAAGGCACAGGCTCCTGCCTGCTGCAAGTACTCAGAGTCCTCAGTGAGGAAAAGCAGGAGGGGTCCTACTGAGAGGCAGCATTATTGCTAGAGGAAGAATAGCCCAGTGCAGGAGGAAGCATCTGAAAAGGAACAGAAGTTGCAGAAGTTAGAATCAGGAGATGATAAGAATTACCAAGGACTAGAATGGACCAAAGCCGAAGCAAGAGAAGGGGGGAAGAATGAGTCTGAATACAGTGATAAGGAAGGATATGTGAATAAAGAAGAGGAAGTCCCTGGCGTTGTTTAAGATTGGATGTGGCACTCAGTGACATGGTTTAGCTGATAAGGTGGTGTTAGGTCAGGTTGGACTTGATGATCTCAAAGGTCTTTTCCAACCTGGTTAATTCTGTGAAGTAAACAGAGATGAAATTCCAGTGAGATAACAGCAAGTCACCACGAACAACAGAAGCAATAAAAGAGCAGAACAAAGCCTAAAGACAGAAGATTCAAAGCCTGAGGTCATCAAGTCCCAAACAAAAGGCACAGGAATCAAATTCTTGTTTTTGGAGCTGAAGGTTTTCAAAGATCATATGAACAGAACTATGGAAGCGTTGTACTGAACTTAAGACATTTATTCCATTGGAATCAGGAGAGATTGATGATGTTGAGCTGCTGTCTCAACATAGGGTATTCACCCAGCATTACTTTTGCAAGATAAGTGTGCTAGGAAAGATTTAATAAATTTACATCCTCTAAAATAGTCAGTCATACCCTATGCTGCTCTGGAAAATTGTCGACTATTTTCAGAGGTATCTGAACCTCATGATAGTTTGTGTAAAAAGCCAATCTACTGTCCTGATCTCTGGGCTATTCCTCACCCAGATTAAGGAGGGGACACGTTCTATGTTCACAAGGATCAGAGTGGTGAAGAGAGCAGTGGAACCATTCACTTTACTGAGAAGCCATTTCCTCTCCATGCAACACATCTGGATTTGTTCAGGGTTTGGAGGTGCTTGGGTTTTGGTTGGTTTTTCTTACAGTGTGGTGTTTTCGGTTGGTTGGTTTGCTGGGATTTTTTGTTTGTGTTTTTGGGTTTTGGATTTTTTTGGTTGGTTGGGTTATTTTTCATGTATTGGTCTTCACTTTCCAAACTGCAGTTCCTCCCACAAACAAGGAAATCTGAAGTGAGTCACATCTCAGCAGCTTCACCTGGTCCTACAGCATATTGCCTCCTCAATTACAGTACCAGTTGTGCTCCTGCCTCTCTTAGCATCTCCTACTCAGAGATCTGGATAAGAAAGTGAGGTAATTCCTTCCTCCTCTTCTCTCAGCTGTCTGCATCTCTGTGATGGCACTGTAATCCAGGGTGTGGGAAGGAGATTGATAGACATCAGTTTCATGTTTGGAGTAAATTCCCACTGAAGATAAGACTGAGGCCTATGCTTTAGCCCTAACAGCTAAATCCTCATCAAACTATAAATCAGCACTTTCATGTCTTTACTGCAATTATATTGTGTGAGAACTGGAATTAAGGATTAGTTACAGGTATTTCAAAGACTCTCTATGTTGTCTTATCTTCTATGTTGTCTTATCTTGCTGATGCATGCAGTTTTTGACCTGGGTTAAAACCTGGCTGTGAAGAAAAAAAAGAAAAGGAAAACCATGGTTTTCCCACAGTCATGTATAATACTGGCATAAAAGCCTTGATTTGCAAGATTTTTTTTCAAATAGATAAAGAATAATCCATAAAGGTTTGAAAACTCAAAAGGAAGTAGTTTTTCAAAGGATTTTTCAGTATCACATTAAATTGAAAACTTCCACAACCTGTAACATATTGCTTGATCTGCTTTCACTTGTATTTGTTCTTTTCTTGATTTGCCTTTATATTCCCAGTCAATGCCTTGTGGGATCTTGTGCTCATAGGGACTGGAAAATGAATCAGTTGTCTTGATGTAGTTGTCTATCTCAGACTGAACTGAAACATTCTTGCCTCTAATAGTGTTGTCTACTATGGCAGCTCAGACATTCAGCTCACTCACCTACAGATTCATTTGGGCATGAAGGTGACTAAAAATAGATATTTGAATCTGGAACTGAATCTCACCCACATATGTAACAAACCTAGTATTGAGCCTCTATTCTTCACTGAAATTTCTCTTTCCTTGTGTCCAGTTTGTGTTGATTTTGCCTCTTGGTTCATTCTGAGTGTGTTCACACTGGCAGCAGTTATTGAAGCTAGAATTGCTGTATTGCTGCTTGAGAAAGGGGAGACAGCAGTTGTCTCAGCAGAGGAATCTATAAATCCTTCTAGCAAGGCTGCAGTGAAGTGGGAGCCCTGAGCAGCCCCTTCGGTCAGCTCCCAGACCTGTAATAAGGTGATGACTTCTTCAAAAAGAAAATGTTTAAGGCACTTAAAAAGGGCAACCTTTGCTTATTGAGCATAACGGCAAAAACTATGCCAATAAAAATTCCTCCTTCTTAATATGACCTGTTCATACTTTACCTTTGCAGTATGATCAGTTTGGGCTAACAACACAGATTTCCAAGCAGCCAGCAAAGATAAACTGATAAACATCAGCTGGAAAGCAATTGCAACTGATTGCAGTGGATGTTTACTAAACAAATGACTGCCACCTGAAAAGGCATAAAGATACATTCCTGAAAAAAAATAAAATACATATATATAGAAAAAAAATAAATTATTTCTCATTTTAGCTATATTCTACAAGTTGTCTGGGTCTCTGTTGATTCCCTGATACTTTCCTATCTGCCATCATCATTCATCAGTAGAAGAAAGGACTAAATAAGCATCATAAGCACAATATTTTTCTTCATTGCCTATCTCTGACAGGCTCACCCCCTGCTCCCCCCCCTCAGCCTTGTGCCTGGACAAAGAGGTTGCAGCCAGTGTGGGAAGGTTCTGGCTGGGAGATGTCAGGGCAAAGCATGAGGTGACAGGCTGAAAAAAATAGTGAAAAGAGAAAGGGAACTGTTGAAATTCCTAGAAAATATGGATAAACCAGCTCATGGCTGGCATTTATGGGTCTGTCTTTCTGTACTGCCTCTGACAGGGCCCAAAAGCACAGGAGAGGGTGGTTTAATGTTGGGGATAAATAAAACTTCACAAAAAGAAGGCCTCATTACCCTTGCAAAATCATGGCTCACTGCTGTTAGTTTGGCTAAGTAGAAAAGGACTCTGGGAATGACTCGGCTGAATTGCAGGTAGAAAAACAAATTATATAACCATTACATGCTTACATTGTGGTATATGGTGGTTGGTTGAATTATATTTGTTGTGCTTAAATGGAATGTAACTGATAAAGGCCTAATTGCTTGAAAAGGTCTGTTTTTTGCAATAAACAAATTTCCTTTTGCACCTGCCTGGAGAATCCATATTGCTCTGCATCACTACAGTTCAAGGCCCTGGTGGAGGCTTCCCATTTTTCTTGCTGTGCCCAACCAGCATCTTGCTCCCACTACTTCCCTCCCAAGCCCTGCTTTTTCAGCAGGAGCTGGATGTTGGTAAGCAGCTCCATGGGGAAATACAAATGCATTAATATTAGCAGAACAAAGTTCTCCCTCTACTTCCTTGCTGGCAGAGGCCTCCTTTGGTTGGTGCAGCTCCTGAAGCTGGCTGCAGGAGCATTTCCACCTGTATTGTGGCCTTTGTGGTGGGCAGGAGTGGTGTGGGCCCCATCTCCAGCCATGATATGCCCACACAAGGGTTGTGGCACAGAAAAAAACCTATGGATAGAGGAGAAATGTAACGTGCTAGAAGAGCAAAATAGAGCTTTTTTGCTGCTCAGCTCAGGTTGCAGCTCCCTCATTCACGTTGCCACTCTTTCTGAAACACAGCTGGTACAAAACCAGCCATGTGTTAATGGAGGTCTCTGATGAGCCCTTCAAAGGGCATGGCACTTAGAAGCCCACTGACACATTGTCGTGGTTTTAAAGCATTTGCTAAAAAATCACTAGAAAAACCTACTCATTTCTTGCTGTGAGATATGGATTAGAAGAAGAGCGAAACAGGCTTAAAACTTAAAAGAAATAAAGTTTATTAACAAAACTATAAGAATAAGAAACCAGAATAAAACCTCCAGAAAGCCTTTTTCTCCACTACCTAACCATTCCCTTGACATGACAACATAGAGACAAAAAAAAAAACCTGGTTGTTAAAACAGTCCTAACTTTGCTATACTCTTTTCATCAGTCTTTGTAGAGAAAAAGAAGTTCTCCTCTGCCAATCTGTGGCATTTTTTACAAGAAAACCATTTTCTCACAGCTTTGAATTTTTCTGATGCCAGCCGACCAGAAAACTCTGTCATCAGTCCTTTCCTCCCATTTCACACCACTGAGGTGTGTTATGGGTCATAAGTCAAGGGGTATCATTTTAAGGATGAGTTACTCAAAGGCAAAAGTTCTCTTCATCTGTCTCTGTGATCCTCTCTGGAAACAGAAGTTTTCTCTTCGCCTCTCAAGGGCCACAAATCTTCAACAACTATTACTATTCTTTTTCTGTTCCAGCATCTCATAGTATCGCAACTACTTCACCATTTGCTTAGATCTACACTTTGAAATACTCCATTCCCCCCAAAATACTTTCATGAATTAAAGGAGTTTTTTCATAGCACTATTGTCCATCTCCATAGTTTTAGCAAAAGACTATTTCAGCTTATTAAAGCATCTCCTTATTTCTCTCCCCCATCTGAAGCTTAATTCCTTTCTTCACTGTCTTTGATAGTTTATGTTGTCTCTTTACCTGTTGATCACTCTTTCTTGCCTTCTTCCTGGAAAAAGGATTAAATCTGAAAGTCTCATCTGGGTGGTAAAAGGGTTAAAATCTGGCTCAAGCTGCAGGTGTTGATGGTGCCAGGTTTCAGCTCAGCAGTGCTCAGAGCCGGGGCCTCCCAGGAAAAGCTTCAGGCACCCCGGAGGTTTCCTGGGAGGCTGCAGCAGAGCCCGGCCTGGTCTGAGCCTGGGGCAAGCCCCGCAGGCCCCATTGCCTGGCTCGGGAACTGCAGCAGGCCCAGCCCAGGCCCTGCCCGGGCCGCATGGCCTGGGGAGGAGACAGGAGCTGGAGTTCTGCTGCTTTTCAAAGCTGGAAACCAAAGAGACTAGGAAACTCCCAGGATTAAGTCTTAAGATGGTATTCACAGGTTGATCTCACTTTTCAGTGGTCAAAACTACTGTCAGTTCTCAGAAATGGCCAGTTATTGGCCAGGAGAAAAACTCCCATCAGCCTCTAGCAGCATAAACTTTCTTAGGTGTATATCTTTGTTTCTTAAAAGTAAATCCATCACACACATCCTGTGATGGGCCAGCTAGGCTGTGTTTGATACCACCAGAGTCACAGGGAAGACAGGTCCTGTTCATACAAAGTGTGCCACAATGGCCCAAAAAGTTCAAGGGGTACCAAAAAATCCCAGAGATGCTCAGCTGTGATGGATCCTGAACTGTCATTTCTACAATGGATGGAGTAGTGTCCCTACCCAGCTCCAGGTATCAACTGCTGCTCAAATGTTATTTTTATATTTAATTAGGATGTTCATAATTTTAAAGCAGTAGTTTTATAGCACTTGTAGACTGGCTGAAGGATATCCAAAAGGGACATATGAAGGCCAGCTAGAGACTGGCAGTTCTGGTGGGATGGCCAAAGATGTTTAGGACTTGCTTTAAATAAGGAGCAAGTTTGAGAGAGCTGCTAAAGCTTGACACAAAATACCAACCAAGTCAGTATCCACTCTGTGTCTTGGCAAAAACAAGTTGATCAGCAGCAAGAGAACCTTTCAGGTTTACTTCTAATTTGCCAGGCCCTTAGACACGTTCAATGTATTCCCAAACGATCTAATTTACTTGCTCATCTGTAAAGTGTGATCAATATTCAGGTACCTTATCCAACCAATGTTGCACTTTACCTTGCATTTCCAATCAACAGTCAAATGTTGACTGTCTAGTTCAGCTTAATGCAAAATACAATATTGTGGGCTAATAATTGGTTCTTAGGAAAATGAAGCACAGTATGTTGAGAATGACAATAAACAGACAGGACAGTCTGGTTGTGGACAGAGCAGAAGGCTTGAACCTAGAAAGGCAGTGGAAGGTTTGAGTGAAATAATAAATAGTTCTCAGTCTTAACTATTCTTTCTTCCATAGTCTTTTTAATATGGATTCTTCTCACTCATCCTACATGTAAATTAATATAATTTTGTGCTACTCATGAAATGAAATCACTTCAGAGAAAGGTGGTGGGGGTATCTCTTCATGTCATTTCCTCACCATGTTGGTTTGACTAATTGTCACTGCTTGGAATGAAATTTGAGTTTCCTACTTTTAATCTTAACTAAGTAAGAAACATTTTTCAATTAATGTAAATTATATATATATATAGTTTTATACATACTTATATATATGTGTGTGTGTGTATGCTAAATGCTTAAAGAATCTTTACTCCTATTATTTTACCTTTTTCCTAAGAAGATGAAAATCACTTAAAAGAATGCAGTCTTAGTCCATCAAAGAAATGCATACTTCTCCTTGCAAGAGGAATACATCCATATAATTATTACCTTTCTTCATGCATTTTTCAAAATGCAGATGTAAAAATGTTTTGCTGCTTGATATACACATTTAAATGTGAAGATGAACTGGGTACATGTACTTCAAAAGTAATGAAGTCTAGAATAAATAAATAAATAAATAAAACATGATAGTCACTGTTCATATGCAAGGGTCTCTACTGTCTTTATTACCTACACAAAAATTATAACTAAAGAAAGTAACACAGAGGTTTACATTTTATGCATGCCTCAGGTCACTTTTTAGTCTTGGGAGCCTCATTCCTCTTCTTCTATCTTCTTATGAATCTCCCGGCTCTTGGCTCGGAGCTTGTTGACCTGTGACTCTGCAATGTCAGCCCGCTCCTCGGCTTCCTCCAGCTCATGCTGGATCTTGCGGAACTTGGAGAGGTTCACATTGGACAGCTCCTCCTGGGAGGGAAGAGGGCGTTGTGAAAACAGCATGGTTTTTTTGTGGACATTTATTATCAGAAAAATGGAAAAACAAAAATTGAAATGCCACAGCTGGGATAGCAGAGCAGATTCAAAACCAAGATGAGAAGCTGCTTAGGGTGTTATGTGTGTCAGAAAGAAAAGAATATTGGAATGAAAAATGACATTATACACAGCAAGGTCTAGGCAGAGTTCATGTCACAGTTCTGATACACAGACTGACAGCTGCTTCTGACATCCAGGGCAAGGTATAAGCAAAGCAACAGAGTGGGAAATGAGGCTTACAGCAAAACAAATAGGGTTGGGGAATTATATTTCCTCCCAAACCCAGCAAGTCTTACTCTCACATTCCCTATTCTATCAAAATATCATCATGTTGCATCAACAGTCAAGGTTTCAAAAAGCTGTACAGAAGAAAACATGAATACAGAATTCCGCCTTCCCAAGAAGAAAGTCTGGTTTGGAAAAACTGGTACTTACAGCCTCCTCAGCTTGTCTCTTGTAGGATTTCACTTTCATTTGGAGCTTGTCCACCAGATCCTGCAGCCTCAGGACATTCTTCCTGTCTTCCTCAGACTAGAGTGTTTGGCAAACAGGAAAGAGAGTCAATTCTTGATTCTGCATCACGTGAGGTTAACAATTCCTCTTGGGGATGGTGTGTGTAAAACGTGCCTTGCTGTGAGAAAACCGTGTGAGAGCAGGAGCCCTCCTGCCTTACCTGGTAGGTCAGTTCCTTCACCCTCCGCTCGTACTTGCGCACGCCCTTCACGGCTTCAGCGCTGCGCTTCTGCTCAGCATCAACCTCCCCTTCCAGCTCCCGCACCTGCAAGGACAAACCCATCCCTGCAGCTTCCCTGACAATGTCTCTGCAAGGACACGCTCACTCAGGCACAACCCCAGCCCTACACACCCTGGCCTCCAGCTTCTGGATCTGCTTCTTCCCTCCCTTCAGTGCCAGCTGCTCGGCCTCTTCCAGACGGTGCTGCAGGTCCTTCACTGTCTGGTCCAGGTTCTTCTTCATCCTCTCCAGGTGGGCACTGGTGTCCTGCTCCTTCTTCAGCTCTTCTGCCATCATGGCCGCCTGATCAGAGCAAAGGGTCAAAGCCATTTTGGGGCTGGACATATCTGGAGGAGACTACATTCATCATTGGCAATGCCAGGAGTGCCCAACTCACATCTGTGATGGCCTTCTTGGCCTTCTCCTCAGCATTGCGGGCTTCCTGGATGGTATCCTCCATTTCACTTTGGATCTGGGAAATGTCTGTTTCCAACTTCTTCTTGGTGTTAATCAAGCTGGTGTTCTGTTGAAGAGCATGAACATGATTTTGTTTTTGTTAGCTTGCAGTATCATATCAAGTACAGCATAAGTATTTTTTTTTTTAAAAAAGTGCCATCAGATCACACTGCATTCTAAGAAAACTCTGTTATAGCTATTAATTTTTCAGATATGATGGGCCTTGGTATTTCGTGAGCATCTTCCATAAAGTCTTTTCTCACAGTTTCTCAGAAAACAAGGAAGGAATTTAGACAGAAAAATTAAAAAATTATTGGCTTACTATTTTAAGTCTAGTGACCATAAAACTGAGTCTGTTTATATAGGATACTTACAATGACATTGTTTAATTGCATAAATGACAGAGTTAGTGTGGTCCTATTTTGTTCATAGTCAGAACTAGATTTGCCTTTACAGTCTCAAATGGAAATGTGAAAGATGCTGAACTCAAGTAAAATATTAAGAACCTCACAAAAGTCTCTGAACTTATTAATATTAAAGTATCTATGTTGTAGTCTAGTGAAATTCATATTACATCAACACCCAAAACAAAAGGCTTAATGTTATCTACCACTTATTACTTCTTATTTATGGTGAAAGCCACAGCATTTAACAAAATACTGTTACAGCTCCCCTAGTCTTAAGTTCACTTATTCGTATGGAGTAATAGTATAAATATTAGCTATGTTTACAGACTGACCTGAGTGTGGAGGAGCTGAACTCTCTCACTTGCATCCAGAAGCTCCTGCTCAGCCACTTTCCTTGACCTCTCCGTCTGCTCCAGGGCTGCCCGGAGCTCCTCAACTTCAGCCTGCAGCAGGTTTGCTCTGCGCTCCACCATGGCCACCTGCTCCTTCAGGTCATCCTGTGCTCTGACAGCATCATCCAAGTGTATCTGAGTATCCTGGAAAGAGAAATTCAACAAATTGGGAGGTGGGTGTTTTCTATTTTGGTACTTCCTATTTTCCTGTTAACTTAGAATTGAAAGAATTGTAACACAGGAAAAAATAATTGCTGTGTCAGAAATCAACACATCTTAAATTGTGCCAAACCTTCAGCACTGCCTGGGTGTTTCTCAGGTTCTTCTGTGCCTCTGCAGCCTGGCGGTTTGCATGGCTCAGCTGAATCTCCATCTCATTCAGGTCTCCCTCCATCTTCTTCTTCAGCCTCAGGGCTTCATTCCTACTCCTGATCTCAGCATCCAGAGTGCTCTGCATGGAGTCCACAACTCGGAGGTGATTTCTCTTCATTTGGTCAATCTCCTCATCTTTCTCTGCTATCTTCCTGTCGATCTCAGACTTCACTTGGTTGAGCTCAAGCTGCAGACGCAGGATCTTCCCCTCCTCATGTTCCAGGGAGGCCTGGAAGAGTGGATGCAAACATTGATAACATTGTTAAACATTCTTCTTACATTCTAGGGAACAGCAAAATATTTCCATAAATCCCAGGTATCTTCATTCCCCAGGCAGTAGAGACGGGAATCCAGGCCTTTTCAGCCCTATTTCCTCATTTATTTAGTGCAGATGCCAGTGTTTATGGTCACATACCTCAGCTTCCTCCAGAGCAGCCTGGATTTCAGATTTCTCCTGCTCAATCTGCTTCTTCACTTTCTCCAGCTCATGAATTGCCTTCCCTCCCTCCGCAATCTGCTCGGTGAGGTCAGAAATCTCCTCTGTGGGAACAAAGATCAATGGCATGGTCAGGCACAGAGCAGAATGGGAAGGATCCTGTCCCACCAAGGTGACAGGCACCTCTGCAGATCTGCAGGCACAGACCCATGAACAATGGTGGTCATGGCTGATGGTGAGAACGGCCAGTGAGGGGGGCAGAGGGCCAGGGACTTACGCTGCAAGTTCTTGTTCTCCCGCTTCATTGTTTCCAGGTGGTCCAAGGACTCCTCATAGGCATTCTTCATCTTGAACAGCTCCGTGCTCAGAGAGCGCGACTCCTTCTGCGAGGCCTCCAGCTCAGCCTGTGTTTCCTCATACTTCTGCTTCCATTCTGCCAGGATCTGAAGAGAAACGGGGTGTGAGTCAGGCTGTGGCCATCACAGGGGCATGCTCTGGCCAGGAGTGCTGGTGCTGGAGGCCAAAAGACCTTGTCAAAGTTCTTCTGCTTCTTATCCAGAGCAGCACAGGCAGCATTGGATCTCTCCACATCAATCATCAGGTCCTCCACTTCATTCTGCAGCCTCTGCTTTGTCTTTTCCAGGGAGGCACATTTGGCATTGACAGCCTCAACATGTTCCTCTGCATCCTGCAGACGCTGGGCCAGCTTCTTCCTGGAAAGTGTTAAGCATAAGTAAGCAAATGGGAGCCTGTGGAGTGAAGCATGTTTTTCACAGGAGCAAACATAGCCTCTTGGTACTGTGTGATTCCCATTCACAGAGTATTGTAAGATTTCTTCCAGACAGCCACTCTGTTTCCATGTCTGAATTCTGGTGGAATCCTGCAGCACTTCCCTCTCTGCCAGCCTCTCTCTGCTATTCTGGACCTTTCTGCTTTTCCCCAGTGCACACCTGCTTTCTGTCAATTTTGTCTTTCTGTGTTCCCACCCAAAGGAGGACACTAACTTCTTCCTGACAATATCATGAAGGGGCTTCTCAAATTTCCATTCTTAGTCTCTGCCAGTGTTCTTGACATTCCCCACGTACTTGGCCTCCTCGAGCTCCTCCGTGCGCTGAATGGCGTCTGTCTCGTATTTGGTTCTCCACTGAGCCACCTCGCTGTTGGCTTTGGACATGGCTCTCTGCAGCTCCCCCTTGGCCTCCTGCTCCTCCTCATATTGTTCCCGGAGCAAGTCACAGTCGTGGCGAGCGGACTGCAGGGCGTGGGCCAGGGCGTTCTTGGCCTTGGGGAAAAAAAAAACCAGTGTAAAAATGAATGGAAATATCCTGGGAAATCTCCTTAATGAGATCTTAGAAAGACCTGGGATGAGAAATATCTGGGAATTTGCAAAGGAATTAATGGATAGACAACAGGGAAAGAGACCCAATACCACTATGGGAAAACTTGCAATCTGTTATCTAAGTTATTTGTGTCCCTTTCATCTTGTTGATTAACTGATTTCATATATTTAGGAAAAAGCCTTCCCACCTTTATCTCTTCCTCCAGATGCCTCTTGAGTTCCTCAATCTGTTGGGTGAAAGCCTGTTTGCCTCTTGACAGCTGAGAAACCAAAGCATCCTTCTCTTCCACCTGGCGTGAATATTCACCTGAGAAAATATGCAGATACAAAATGGTTTTGATGCCATTGATGGTGACACTGCAAACATTTGGAGATGTAAGACCAGGTGGTTCACAGTCCATGCTGAAACTCATAATTCCATTTCAAGCATTTCTCAGTAGATGTGACCCAAAGTGTGTTGAACAGACCATGTGCCCATTGGAGTAATTTTTGCAATAACTCTGAGACATTATTGATCCGTACATGTAGATGTTGGTGTCTCACCTGACTCTGTCTGCAGACGAGCTCTTTGAGCATTGAGGTCATTGATCGTGCGCTGATTCTGCTCCTCCTTGGTCTTAAGCTCACTGAGCTGATCTTCCAGTGTGCGGCACATCTTCTCCAGGTTGGCCTGTGTTTCAGCATAGGGAAAGTGATGAGTTAACCATCCACACTCTAAAGAAGGCCAGGTACAAGAACTGCATTGTATTCCATTGGGTCAAAGAGCCAATAAAATATTTGTGTACCTTGGCTTTGGAGACAGACTCCATGTTGCTGGCCAAGTCATCAATCTCCATCTTCAGCTCACTCTTCTCCTTCTCCAGCTTCTGCTTCACACGTTGCAGGTTGTCGATCTGCTCCCCCAGCTCAGCGGTGCTGTCCGCGTGCTTCTTGCGCAGGGCGGCAGCCGTGGCTTCGTGCTGCAGCGTGGCCTCTTCCAGGTCCCGCCGCATCTTCTGGAACTCTGCCTCACGCTTCTTGTTCATATCAATCTGAGCTGCTGTGGCCCCTCCTGCTTCCTCCAGGCGCTCACTGATCTCCTCCAGCTCCCTGGACAGGTCAGCCCGATGCTTCTCTGCTTTAGCGCGAGAGGTTCGCTCTGCCTCAATTTCCTCCTCCAGCTCCTCAATGCGCGCCTGCAGAACAGGAGGGACCCTTCACACCCGTGCCCTCCTCCTGCCTCAGCTGAGCCTGAGCAAGGGAGGGGAAGGAACACAGACTTGCCTGCAGCTCCTTGATCTTCTTCTGAAGTTGCATGCCCAGGGCTTGTTCATCCTCAGTTTTGCTCTGGATCTGGCTGATTTCAAAGTCTTTCCTTTGGACCAAAATGAACCATATTAGAGCTCAAAGGAAGAAGACAAGTGGTGCAGCCCAGCACTCAGGTGCCCCAGAGCCACACTTACTTCTTCAGTTTCTCATCCAGCTGCTGCTTATCATTCTCCAAATCCATGATGCTGTCCTGGGCCAGCTTCAGATCTCCTTCCAGTTTCCTCTTTGCTCTCTCCAGGTCCATGCGCAGTTTCTTCTCTTGCTCCAGGGACCCTTCCAGCTAAACACAACAAGACCTTCAGTGCTCTACCAGCCAGCTCAGGCTCCATACCTGTCCTGTTCCTGCTCTGTGTCTGTGTGCTTACATCATCCACTTGCTGTTCCAACTTGGTCTTGGCTTTCGTTAGAGTATTGACTTTGTCCTCCTCTGCCTGCAGGTCATCCAGGGTCTGCTGATGGGCCTCTTGGAGGGCTTTCTTCTCTTTGGTCAGCTTGGCGATGGTCTCATCCAGGGCTGCCATCTCCTCAGTCAGGTTTTTCACCTTTAGGAAGAAGGGAACAAATATAAATAAAGGAAATAGATATACAAGTTCTGTAATAGCACTCAACCCATTTTCTGGAGTGCAGGTCACAGGTTCTACCTCATACCTTGTTTTCGGTGGCGTGTTTTTCCTTCTCCACCTTGGCCAGTGTTAGCTCAAGGTCATCAATATCTTTCTTCAGCTCTGAACATTCATCCTCCAGTTTCCTCTTCTTGGCTGTCAGCTCAGCATTAATTTCCTCTTCATCCTCTGCTCTTTCAGTCACCTCCTTAATTTTGGCTTCCAGCTGTATTTTGGTTTTGATGAGCTGGTCACACCTTTCCTCAGCATCAGCCAAAGCATCTGCTTCCTATTAGAACAACATGGATATGTTTGCTAAATGCAACTGTTCGCAAAAGCTTAAAGGATAAATGGTATTTCTTGCTCCAGAAAAGAAGCATGGAATTATTCTATTTTGTTTTCTTTTAGGAAGTGATTATTTTTCTCATCTTCTTTTAAATCAGATTAGGTTTTTATTCCCTTTCTGTTTTTTTACTCTCATCAATTTTTCTCTCATTTTTCTTGTGGATAAGATGATAATATCCAGTAATACTTTTATTCTCAAGAATTTTGATTACTTTCTCTGAAAGTTAAGTATCAATATGTAGATATTTTTTTCTTTTTTATCTTTTTATCAGCTTTTCTTGTCTACACTAACTTTGAATTAATTTTCTTTGAGTAAGATAAATTGTTATGTAGTCTAGGTGAAACCATCAGAGGTTTCAATTTGAACCTGACTTTATTTTGATATATTTTGATATATATTTTGATATATATATCAAGATATATATTCTTGATATAAATATCTAAAGACTCAAGGTAATGTTTAAATATTGACCAATGGCTTGATCTCACAGTGGAAATAGGAGGTACATATAGGGCTGTGACAGAATGCAGAGGGTTTTTGTGTCCTTCTGGAAAACTGGTTGCAGATCATGTGGCATAGCATGTATCATAGAAAATTACACAGACGTCTTTTTTTTGTCTACTGATTGAAACCAGAGTAAGTTGTCAAATGAATTGCTATACAGACTCTGCATACTGTAAATACTAAATCTCCAGTAACTACATTGGATTATATTGTGGTTATATTATCCATATTATCCATATAATCCATATATATTGGATTATATTGTGGTTATATTGTGAACTTGGAGAAACAAACCTATGTGCATAGGTCCTTCAAAAGTCATTCCAAAACTAGAACATTATATTCTAATGGTGACACTGAGTGGTCTGAATTTTACCTTCGATTATTCATATTATTTTGTCAGGCAATTTACTGTGTAACATGAGAGTTATGTGTTGTAAATGTACCTGGAAGAAATACACTAACGATACCTACAGATTGCACTTGGAGCTGCAGGTCATTCTTTTCCTGCATTAGAGATGCCATTTTCTCCTCCAGCTTTGCAAGCTCTTCCTTGGTTTTCTCAAACTCCCCCTTCATGTTGGCCATCTCCTTCTCAGACTCTGCGCTCTTCAGCAAGGGCTTGATCTTGAAGAACAGCTTCATCCATGGCCAGTGTTTGACATTCATGAATGAACGAACGTTGTACTGGATGCAGAAGATGGACTCCCTGACTGGATGCAGAAGATGGACTCCCTGAGACATAATTAGAAAGTATAATGAATATTCTCAGTCTGGCAAGTATCAACGCTTTCCCAAGAGCAAAATTACTTGAACTGAAGAAGACAAAGGTGTACCTGCGCTCCACCATTCTCTGGTACTCCACCCTCATCAGGAAGCCCCTGCACCTGGCCTGAGTGCGGGTGATGAGCTGTGCCAGCTTCTCATCCCTCATCTCCTCCAGGAGTCCCAGCAGCCCAGCTTTGAAGAACACCTTGAGAAAGGGAATGTTGCAGCACATCACTGTCAGGTAGAGCAAAGCCCAGGGATGCAGTGAATGGGGGGGTTTGTACCTTGGTATGTCCAAATTTGTACTGGGTGTGGTCCACATCAATTGAGCCAAGGAGCTTCTCAGAAGCCTTCTTGCTGTCAATGAACTGTCCCTCGGGGATGGCACTGGCATTAAGCACCTTGTATCTGTGGAATCAGAGAAAATAGTAGGAAGACAATGTCCACTTATAAGATTGTTCCATTTACTGAAACCATGAGCACTGTTTGCAGCAGAATCAGGCTAAGGAAGTTGGAATTTCATCCCCTGTTTAGAGATACCCTTCCAATAAAGTCTTAACCTGGCAACAAATTTAAGGAAACTTTTCCAGTCTTTAGCAGACCAGCCATGATGAAGAGGACATTGATTTCCAGTTAGTTCATCCTTTTACTGAAGCTATGCTGTAGAAAGTTGCTTGAGAGGAACATTGCCACTTTCCCATACTCTGTATTGGAGAAAAGCCTCTTCCCCTGAAACTGGCAGCTGGTGCAATACAAGGAACTCTTAGTTTGTAATTTTTACCTAAGAGCCTGCTGCCACCAATCCCCAACTGCATTTATTAATATTGTTATCCCTGGCTTCTGTAGCTCTACTGAGCTTCTATACTCAGATGCCCCAGCAGTCAGTGAGGACACCTGACACTCTTCATTTCTCAATAATTTTTCTTTTGATAGCCATTTATATTGCCTTTTGTTATGCACCCCAACATTCCCTTTTCTTCCAGTTATGACCAAAAAGAGCTAGTGTTAAAAAATATCCTCAAGTAAAAAAATAGTTAAGAAGTAAAACATGGGCACAAAAGGCAGAATGGGAATCAGAAAAGAAACTGACCTCTGTTTGAAGTCAGCATAGAGGATTCTGCTGGGGAAGCCTTTCCTGCAAATCCTGATCCCTTCCAGCACGCCGTTACAGCGCAGCTGGTGCAGCACCAGCTCGTGCTCCATGGCACCATGGCACCTAAGCAATAAGACAATTATTTGATAATTAATGGTAAAACATAGAGAATAATGGCTGCATCACACTATTTTTTATCTCTGCTTGGGGTTCTTACCAGGTGTTTTAGACTCGTTGGGGATGATACAGCGCACAAAATGGGGGTGAGTGCTCCGCAGATTGGTCATCAGCTTGTTGAGATTTTCCTGTGGGTTCATGAGTAAAAGTTTTAATTAGGAAGTAGTACCTCCTCAGTTACAATTTCAGATGTGAGAAAAGTCTTATTAATAGATTTGCAATTCCCAACTAAAGCCATTTGAATGTGGGTTTTCTTCTGTCTTTCACTCTTGAGCAGGAGAGAAAGTCACAAAAGTTTGCAGTGTTTTTATGAGAGTGGGGGATATACCCACTTAGCCAGAACACCTATGGAGTATGGTGACCAGATGTTCATAGCAAAAAGCATAATTTTGAGTAAAAGAAGTTTCTTTGTAATAACCTTATTCTTATTGTTTGTACCTTGGTGTGTAGCCTGAGCTAAGTGCTTTTTCCAGCATTTGAAGAAAGGTGAGATCAAGATATATCTTCCTCAGCTGGCCTCAGCTGACTTGCTGTCAGCTTGTTTATGAATAACCAAAGAATTTTTCTTGATACAGAAAAATGTTAAGACCTGCAGTTAAATGGCCTTATTGAAGCTAGAGTGAGGTTTTTACAATCTTCAAACCAAACCAACCAAACAAACAAACAAAAAACAATCCAGGAAAGAAGTGGAGACAATTACTTCTGTACTCACCCTGAAAAGAGCTGAGACGGTCTGGAAAGAAGAACCCTTCTTCTTGCCTCCCTTCTTGCCACCACCACCACCACCACTGGCCTCTGAAGAACAGCAAAAAATAAAGAAAACAAAGAGATGGCTTTACAGTTTGAAAGACCAAGTTTTTTCATATATACCATTCATTATAAGAATGGAACATAGAGAAGAACAATAGCAGATATTCATGGCTCAGGTAGAGACATTAAATAAATGTGGAAATACGAATTTCAGAGAACTGACCTGCCTCTCCTCCAGCAGATGCAAAGAGTAAGGCCAGTGTCTTCAGGGATGACTTCTGATAGAGCCCCACAACAGTTTCATTCAGAGGGTCCTTGTTTTTGTCAAGCCAGCCAGTGATGTTGTAGTCCACTGTGCCAGCGTAGTGCACCAGGGAGAAGTGAGCTTCAGCCTTGCCTTTGCCAGGCTTGGGCTTCTGGAAGTTGTTGGACTTGCCCAGGTGCTGGTCAGAACATGCACTCCTCTTCCAGGATGGAGAAGATGCCCATGGGCTGGGAGAAATCACAAGGAAGGAGGGACGACAAGGTGAAAAGGCAGAAAGACTCAGAGATGAAATAACTTCCTGAGTGGGACAATATTACTGCTCACAGGGATTGTTCTGCTCAGCAAAGTGTAAAATAATATAAACTGCATATCTGCAGTATCATATTTACCATTTCAAGCTGCATTTAGAAATATGTATAAAATTAATACATTTCTGAAAATACCTCATATTGTGAGGTAAATACATTCATATTGTGAATTACAGAAATACCTTTTCTATGAGCTCAATGCAGGCAGCCAGGTCCATGCCAAAGTCAATGAACTCCCATTCAATCCCCTCCTTCTTGTACTCCTCCTGCTCCAGCACGAACATGTGGTGGTTGAAGAACTGTTGCAGTTTCGCAGTTTCTCATTGGTGAAGTTGATGCACAGCTGCTCCAGGCTGTTGAACTGCACAGTTACAAATCAAGATTATTATTAATGTAAATTAAGTGAGTTAGGGATAAAGAACAGTGCTGGTTAATTGTACCAAACACAGGAAAATCTGTAAGTCTTTATTGATCCAGCAGTTTGGAACTTCTGTCAGGGTGTCCCTTTTGTCAACCTGAACTTTATCCATATATTTATGACTCCAGAAGCTTGGATAATTTTAATAACTCAGACTTTTTCAGCTCTGATATCTACTAGACAGCACTAATTCAGTTGCAAGAGAGTCCACAGCACAGCACACATTCACGAATGTTGATTTCAAATCAAGTGCCAAGCCTTCAGCAAAAAATCTGCACTTAGGGATTTCATTGGCATATGTTCAAACCAAAAACCTATTTTCAATTAAGACCCTGTGGGAATCAGATACTCTAGAAAGGTTCACTATACTATAAAGGATCAAACCATTTATTAAAAGAAAAACAAAAAAAAACCTAAACAAGCTAAACAAACAAACAAACAAAACATTCTTTCTGAAGTATTTTGTCACATAATAGTGTGATTTTAACAAGCAAGCTAATAAACACTTGCTCCTTACATCAAAGATCTCGAAGCCAGCAATGTCCAGGACACCAATGAAGTACTGCCTGGGCTGCTTCGTGTCCAGCTGTTGGTTGATGCGAACAACCATCCACAGGAACATCTTCTCAAAGACAGCCTTTGCCAGGGCACCCACTGAATTGTATACCTGAAATGTAAAAGAGAAAGCATGCAGTTATCATGCAGGACAACAGAGAAAGTCCAGAGAACCTATCCACAAAACAGGGGGTTGTTGTTACCTGCTGCACAGTTTGGCCCTTGGTCACGTATTCATTCCCCACCTTGACGCGGGGGTAGCAGAGGGCCTTGAGCAGATCTGCTGAGTTCAGACCCATCAGGTAGGCAGCCTTGTCAGCAACTAAACACCAAAACAATCAGTTGTTAAGGTACCAGCAGGCATTACTGTTCCTTTAAAAAATATATTAAAGGGCAATTCCAGTAAAAATCAAAAGATTAGAAAAGATAAAAAATGGGCATGTGCTAACAGCAGCACTCTTTGGGAGACACTGGACCTTACAGTTTGCATTATTCAAAATAATCTGAGTTGTGCTCCTCCAGAGAATTTCTCTAGCTAGCTCCCACTGCTTTTCCACAACACTGGCACTGGGGAAATGCACAGGCTGAGTCACTCATTCTGACCCTGACATGCTGCCTTTAACTGACTGAGTGTTCACTGTCTTCCATGCTCTGGGATGGGTTGTGCTGGTACCTTCAGTGCCATCAGGCTCTGCCTGCTCCTCTCGTTGTTTCTGCTTGAACTTCAGGTTCCCGTAGTGCATGACAGCCCCTGTCAGCTTGTAGATGGCTGTTTTCTCATCAGCACTGAAACCCAGGATGTCAATGGCGCTCTAATGAAAGAGTTGTTAGGTTGAGTACCCCAACTGTTAAAGGTCAGTTCTTTCACCTAAGAAAACTTCTGCGACTTACGTCGGTGGCCATCAGCTCCTCCTGGTCATTAATGCTGGGAACTGTGATTTCACCTTGACTCACGTACAGATAGTCATAGGGGTTGGTGGTGATCAGTAACATCTCTGGAGAGAAGGACAAAACCCAGCCAGGTCAAAATGGCACAGAAAGGAATTGAGTGCTGTTCCATGACCTTTGCCTGGAGGAGTTAGTGATCTTCCCTACCAATTAGCTCTGGCTTCTTGTTGGACATGATCTGATAAAAGATGTGGTAGCTCCTTTCCGCCTTGAGCTGGAAAGTGACTCTGGACTTCTCCAGCAGATCTGGCAAGGATGGTAGGACAGAGTCAAGCACAAGAAGTGGGGAAGGCTGGAAGGAAGGGGATCAGGCCAGAAGGGTGTCTTACATGTTTCAATGTCAGCAGAAGCCAGTTTGCCTGTGGCACCAAAATGGATTCTGATGAATTTACCCTGAAAGCAGCAGGAAAGTCAATTGAGAACTATTTTACCAATCTGGACAGCAAGAATATTCAAACTGGTGTTGACAGTTGTCCCAAGTAACAACTCACAAAGCGTGAGGAGTTGTCGTTCCTCACGGTCTTGGCATTTCCAAAAGCCTCCAGCAGTGGGTTGGCACTGATGATTTGATCCTCAAGCGTCCCCTGAAATAGAAGTCTTCTTGTCATCATCTGGCTCTTCAAGAAATTGGATAGTTGCAGGTTTCTAGCCCTGGGACCTCACCTGCATTTTGCCTGATGTCTGCTCCTCCTTCTTCTTGTCCCCACTGGCTGCAATTGTTGCAAAGTACTGGATGACACGCTTTGTGTTCACAGTCTTCCCAGCACCGGATTCTCCGCTGCCCAAGCCAAGAGAGAAGCAGAGGGTGCATGGTCAGGCAGGAGGTCCCCTGGCACCGGGCAGCCCCGCAGGGACCCGCGCAGGGGGTGTACGTACGTGATCAGGATGGACTGGTTCTCCCGATCTGTGAACAAGGCAGAAACAAATACACTTTGTAAATGAAGAACACAAAAATACTGAAAATGAATGTAAGTCATGGCAAGGAAAAAACCCAGCACTTTCTTCTTTGTTTACTCCTAAGCCTTTTTTTCCATTTCAATTCCTCGCAAAGCAATTTGCATTTGTACTCCTTCCTTGAAACATATTCATGGAGATCTATCCAAATGTCATAGTGAAAGCCCGTCATTTTTAAAAATCCTTTCCAGCACAAAACGTTCTGTTATTCTATAATGCATGAGGAGACATATTCTGCTTCTCTGTTCCATTCTATGTTTTTTTTCTTCTCCTGCATACAGTAAATTGTTTTAATTTTCTGCTACACAGACTGCTTATAGAGCAGCAGAGAAAGGGACAGTAAAGACCCAGGGCAAAAGAACCCTGATCATGGGTCACACTCTGGAACTCCATAACACAGAGACAGAAAGGAATGAACAAGGCAGAAGCAGAACTCCCAGCACTACATAATCCTGTTTCATTTTTCATGACAAGGTTTTATCAAGACAAAGCAGAACAGTTGTGATCTGATGCTTATGATGAGAGGCACTCACCAGTCAGCATGAACTGATAGGCGTTGTCAGAGATGGAGAAGATGTGTGGAGGGGCCTCCTGGCGCTTCTTGCCTCGGTAGGCCAACACCACCTCGGGGTTGTACACGGGCAGCCACTTGTAGGGGTTGACAGTGACGCAGAAGAGACCTGAGTAGGTCTGTGAGGAAGGGACACAGCACGTTGGCTTCCCCTGAGCCTGGCCCAGCACTTGCTGAGGCTGCCCAAAGGAAGCTGCTGCTGCCACTTACGTAGATCATCCAGGCTGCGTAACGCTCTTTGAGGTTGTACAGCACGGCGGGTTCGTGGAGGTGGGTCATCATGGCCATGTCCTCGATCTTGTCATACTTGGGAGGGTTCATGGAGAAGATTTGATCTTCCTTCACTGTCAGGGTCTGTCAAAGGGCAGGAAGGTAGATGCATGTCAGCTAAGAGCAGAGTGGGAATGAACTGGTGTTTGTAAATCTTGCACTTTACTCACCTCTCCCCCTTCAGTCTTGACAGTGACTTTTCCTGATTCCCTGCTCTGGATTGTGCTCTTTACATAGGATTCCTTTGCATGAACCACAAAGACAGATGACTTGGCATCAAAAGGTTTGTTCTGGGCCTCAATTCTCTCCTTTTCCGATTTTCGGAGGTAAGGAGCCGCCTCCCCAAAGATGGCCATCTCGGAATCCGAAGACATGGCTGTGGTTTACTGCGTGCAGCAAGGCACGGCCCTGAAATGGAGAGGCAGTTCTGAGTGAAGGGGGAAATTTCTTTTTAGCAGCTACCTTAGGCTTTGTAGTGTTCTGCCTATTATTAGGGTCTTTCTTTCTGCTTCACCTGCTTTTTACCCTAGATGTCTTTAAGTCTTCTTTAATCTGAAAGAAGATAGGTGTCTTTGATTGAGGTTTTTTTCCATTTTTCCAGTGTACACTTTCAGTTCATTAGATTTCACCGTCTTTTAGCGGGCTAGGCAGAAAATTAGATTGATTGGCAGATTCACTGGTAATGAAAGATGTAGCAGAAATACCAAGCAGAAGCAGAAGAGATACCAGGGGAAGTAATCAAAAATATGAAAGTCCACTTATATTCTTTCTCTCTCTCTCATTTCAGCCCATGCAATTTTGCCAACTATAGAGGTGGAGTATCATCAGGGAAAAGATATGGATTAAGCAGAAGCAGAGGTCTGAGTTGTCTATGCAAATCTTTTTTTTCTGTAGAGAAATCAGGGGTTTTTCTTCTCCAATTGTCCTCCCTTTTCCTGTTCAATCTCACCCTTTAATATTAACTTGTATAGAAAAAGGAAAAATTCTTAACAAAAAACATTTGGAGGGATTTGACTAAATCTTAACTATACATGTGCTCTTCATTCATCTTTTCTGTTTACAGTCAGTCTTTTAAGAGTTTTGTGTGTAAGAGGTCAACTATTTCCCAGCAGGTACCAAACAAATGCATCCAACACAGGGAATTTGCTCTTTTAGACAGCACAGCTCAGGTAGGATTGCACTGCTTTAGTGTGCACAGGTGTAAAGGGGTATGGGAAGTGGCCTCAGAAATGCATAGAAAAAGCAAACCTGGAGTCTGTTCCTACAGAGTAAGTAAATCAGTCTTACCTGTGTCACCAGTTGACTCTCTGGAAGCTGGTCAATACTGAAAAAGAGAAGTGACAACTCCTTTCTTATCTTTGCACAGGCTCAACGAGAACAAGTCACAGGGCAAAAACATTCTAGTGACTTCAAGAGAGAGGGAACATGTCCACTGAGACAGACAGTTCTTTGAGGAAAGCAGTTCCACAGGCAGCAGGAATGCTGTGGGATTCTGCCAGCACCCAGCTATCCCTATTCTTACCTTTAATCCTTCCACAGAGACAGAACAAGCTTGTCCCACCAGCACTTTTATAGGTTCTGGTTCGCACATTCAATTCCCTCCTCCTCTTTCTTAGGTCAAAAAATTTTTGGCAAAGCATTGTTTGGCAAACTTGACTGAGTACATAATTCGAATTCGTGCTTGTGGATATATTTAGAAATATTTGAGGTCTTCCTAGCTATGTGAATAAATCTACTATAAATATTATGACTAGGAATCTAGGAAGGAGGAAGTGCAGTCCAGCAAATAGAGCACGACACTGGATCTTGGAATTGTTGGCTTGTCTTCTCCTGTTAATTGCTGTTTGACATATAAGATTTGTATGTCTCAGGACTCAGCAGTAATGAGAAGGATTACTATTACAAGAACTTTGGAGGAAACCTATTTTGAAATATTCTGGAAATAAAGAATAATATAGTGTAGCCTAATTCCAAGACTGGGTGACCATATCATGCCTGTGTTACTGCACCTATTTACAGCTCCTTAGCTTTTTGGTGGGTACTTTCAAAAGATCAGATAAGACAGATTATCCCCCTTAATTCATGTATTGAATTACATCTTTTATCTTCTTCTGAAGTATTAATGATTAGCTGTGATTTGAAATTCAATTTTAAAGGTATTATTTTGCCATTCTCTAGAACTGGCTATGCTAGTTTGCTCTGATGTATGTCCAGCAGAAATTTCACTGAGGTCACACTAGCAGGAATTCCTAAGGATGCATTTTACATCTTTCATCATTTAGGTTTATTGGCAGTTTTAACTCACTATTTTAGAAGCCTTGGACAGTGGCTGTGGTTACCAAATGCAAGAATGGGATTTAGATCCCAAGCTGTCCTCCTCCAGCCTTCCCAAGCACAAACACAAATGCTACTGAAATACAGAGAATTTCTGGGAAGCTTTGCATTTCCTTTGCAAAGAGTTAGGATCTTCTGTTTAAAGTTCTTCCATGCAGCAGGGATGTGGTGTCCTTCTCCACCATATTCTGAAGACCCACATTTTCTCTCAAACTTCAGGAAGTTGAAGCAATATAAGAAGGGTTGGAGGGGATGACCAGTCTTCTCAACTCATTTCTTTAAAGACTATTTGTGTGCTTATAACACTGCATGTATGACTGAAACATCTGAAGTCACATATCCTTTCAAGAGATTGCCAATGTCTTTCTGAAAAATAAATGTAGAGATAATTCCTGTTTGAAAAATATTGTGTATTTGTAGAATTGTCACTGAAGAAAACATCATCCACTGGCATACAAAAGAGGATGAAGAGAGAGAAAGAAATATTTTCCCCCTCTTTTTCTAATGCATTACATAATACCTTAACAAAGAATAGACTTGACTGTTCTTTATGTGTCACATGAAATTAACTCCAGGATGAATTTGCAGTTTTTTGATAAACTTAACTCTTACTGCTGACATGACTTCTGAGTTGTGTGGAAACTTAAAGCTTTCCAGCTGAGATCCATGTAGCCATAAGAAAGCTCCCATCCAATCCCCTTTTGCAGTTTATTACTATATTTAGGTGTCAATTTGCAGCTGCAAAATGATGCTTCATAATTCACTTTCCCTCCTGGGCTCTCTGCACATGTCAATTAAAGAAGATGACATGGATACCAGTGCACTGGTTCAAAGATCACACTTGTAGTATATCATCCTCTCTGTCAGTTTGACATCTTGCATTTTGTTTCACCTCCTAGGGTTTTGTTTCATCTCCTAGAGAGATGGGAATCATCTGGGAAGGCAACAGATTCAAGAAGGAATAACAGATGACTTGTTTTTCTGTTCCTTCCTAACCTAGAAGCCTGACAATAAAGGACCACTTTCTACAGCCCTATTTTCATCTGCCTTGTTTAGGAAATAGCACCTCATATGTATTTTTTTTCTGCAGTGAGTACAACATCAGGTCCAAAAGTCATTCTAGGGCTCTGAGTTCTTGTAGATTGCCTTGCTTCTTCATGTTCTGTGAATTTTCTGAACTTTTTTCCATCTTTGTGACATCTCATGAGCCCATTATATTTCAGACCTTTTACAGAATTTTTTTTAACTAGGATGAGATAGCATCAACTTGTGCTTAAGCTATTTTCTGCTGTTTTCAAATTTTGGAAAGGACTGCATAAAGGTTTTTCACTTGTGAAAGGAAAAAAGATTCATAAATACAGAGAAGTGAAGGTTCTACTTCTCCTGTGATTGTAGAGATGAATTTCACTCTACTGCACAAGTTATTGACCTCAGTCTTCGACTCATCTTTCTCCTTTGCCAGCTTCTGCCTGATGCTTTGCAGGTTTTTACTCACAAATTCATCTGTCTGCAGTAGAAAAAGAACAATAACTTCATAAGACCATAGAAGAGTTGGTGATATGGGATTGCTATGGGTCCCTAGTCATGTTTTCAAGTAGTGAAATCATTTTACATCCCTCAAAGATTTGTTGCCATGGTATTCTCTCCACTTACTGAAAAACAGCATGAAGCTTGAAGTTTCCAAGCTGCTCTTTGTGCTTTATTAACACTACCAAAAGTTTGTCTTCCTCACTTTCTTGATGGTCTGTCAAGAAGTTACAGCTTGTAACCACTCCCCAGGCTCTTTGCCACACTTAAATTGTTGTAGGCCATGCGTGCCGAACAATTTAGTAGCCTACCTCTTCACTCTAAAGTTCCCATCAATCTTGAATAAAGGGAAAATAGCAATTTCCTTCAATCTGATGGCAACACCAAGCAGTTTATCACCATCCCTTGATCTCAGCCTTTAACAAACCTCATAGTCCTTCTGTCCAACAGATTCTTCTGAAAAAGATTTCTGGAGGATACAACATTGAAAACCTGACTGAGCTTCACTCCTTTTTCTCCGTTCCCTTATCTACTTAATCATAGAAGCAATTTCTTCCAACACAAATTTTTCTTCACTTCACTGGGTGATCTGTAACTTCTGAGTGTTTCTTAATATTTTTTAAAAAGCTAGATAGAGAAAAAAGACAAATTAATTACAAAATAAAAAACTTTCTCCTCTATTTTTTCTCCTTATGTTCCAAAAATTAGAAAAAATAACCCCTGGAGGTAGAGGAAAAAATAAAACAACTGAAAATTCATTCCATTTCAAAGTGAGAAGAATATATAAATTATAATAAACTGCTTTTCATCCAGTCAGGACTTTGCATTGTTTCTAATGTTGTTTAATTCAGCTTTGATCTAAAGGATTGAAATTCACAGATTGGAAAAACTACATGGTTTGTATTTTATACAATATATATACCATATTTATGGTTAATTTTTGGTTGATCATGTTCTGTTTTATAAAAGTCTTATGTAAGTGGTTTTCATCATGTAGTAATAAAATGATTAAACAGTCAAATCATAACTGAAATTATGGCAATCCTTAGGCAAGACATCCCTAACTTAAATTTTCTTGCAGTTGCAACTACAGGTTATGGTGTTGCATGAAGTAGGAATATGAAATTTGTCCCAGGTTTTGCCTAACTCATCTATCTGTTCCAGCACTTGAATACTCTCATTGTTAAATTATTTTTTCTTATATTTAAATGAGATTTCCAATATTTCAGTTTGTGCCTCTTGCCCTTACTCGCAGCACACCACAGAGAAAGGTCACCATGACAGGAAATCGACCTCAGAGTCCCCTCCTTGGCAGGAGATAAGGAGACAGTAGGATGGAAATACTCATGGCTCAAGATGAAGACAGGGAGGCTGTTTACCAGTTACTGTCACCTGCAAAACAAACTCCACTCTGGAGGAAAACTTATTTAATTTTTGCCAATTAAAATAAACACAGTTTTTGAAACAAAAATTAAAACACCTTTTCCCCAAGACTTCCCAGACTCAGCTTCACTTCTTCATTCCTGATTCTTTTGCCTCCATCTCTG